TTATCTGTCTCTGGGCCTAGGAGCTGTCCCTGAGCTCTTCAGCTCAAGGTACTCTACCTTTTGAGCCACAGCGCCACTTCCAGTTTTCTGGTGGTTAATTCGAGATAAGAGTCGTGGACTTTCCTGCCTGGACTGGCTTTGAACTTCGATCCTCAGATCTCAGCCTCCTGAGTAGCTAGGAGATTATAGGCATGAGCCACCAATGCCCAATGTACTTTTTATTTTTTTTTATTTTTTGGTCGGTCGTGGGGCTTGAACTCTGGACCTGGACGCTGTCCCTCAGCTCTTCAGCTCAAGGCGAGCGCTCTACCACTGGAGCCACAGCACCACTTCCGGCTTTTTCTGTTTATGTGGTGCTGAGGAATCGAACCCAGGGCCTCATGCTTGCAAGGCATGCACTCTACCGCTGAGCTACCTTCCCAGCCCCTGTACTTTTTATTTGTTAATATAATTTTGTTGTTATTGAGGCATTGTTCAGAGGGGTTACCATTTCATAAGTCAAGTAACAAGTACACACATAATGTTACACCTTCCCTTTTTCTGTGTCTCCCTTCCATCCCTACCCACAAGTTGCATAGTTAATTTTCCATACAGTGTGTATTGAATACTATGACTGCTTTTTTTTTTTTTTTTAATTTTTTGGCAGAGCTGAGGACCAAACTCAGGACCTTGCACTTGCCAAGCATGTGCCCTTCCACTGAGATAAATCCCCAACCTCACAACTACATTTGTTCATCCTTCCTCCTCCATTTCTGCATTCTTATTTGACACCCCAAAAAGACAAAAAAAAGCAAAAAACACCCCCCCCCCCATGTTTTCATTTCCTGGAATTAATTTTGATAAATAGTAATTTATTTATTTATTTTTGGCAGCCCTGGTGCTTGAAATATATGCCTAGGCACTGTGTATAAGCTTCTTTCACTCAAGGTGAGCACTCTACCACTTGAGCCACAGTGCCACTTCCAGCTTTTTTGAGTAGTTTATTGGAGATAAGAGTCTCACGGACATTCCTGACCAGGCTGGCTTTGAATCACGATCCTTAGATCTCAGCCTCCTGAGTAGCTAGGATTACAGGCATGAGCTAGCAGCACTCTGCAATAAATAGTATTTAAATGTTCAGAGTGCTCACCTTGAACTGAAGAGCTGAGGGACAGCACCCAGGCCCAGAGTTCAGGCCCCATGACTGACAAAAAAAAAAAAAAAAGTTCAGAGGAGTTCTTTGAGTACTTCCCCTAAGAGTATCCTCCTTTAGTCTGTGTGTGACTGCCTAGAGTCCTGTATAAGTTATCATGGCCGGTTACATTTTAGATCTAGCCACCACATATAAGAGGAAACATGCACTGTTTGTCTCTCTGAGCTTGGCTTACCTCACTCAGCGTTAGTTCTAGAGCCATTCTTTTTCCTGAAAATGACATAATATTATTCTAATTAATGAGTAAAATTCCATTTGTATATATGTACCACATTGAATTGATCCACTCATTCATTGTAGGGCATCTGGGCTGTTTCCATAACTTGGCTATTGTGAATAGTGCAGCAGTGAATGTGCATGTGCATGTGTCTTTATGGTATCCTGACTTGCAGCGTTCTGGGTAGATGCCCAAGAATGGTATGGCTGGATCATAGGGAAGTTCTATGTTTAGTTTGTTGAGGAACCTCCAGAGTAGGCTTTAGTATTTTTTTTTAAAGACATATAACATAAGCAGTGTTTTTAAATTAAAGGTAGAGGGGCTGGGAAGGTGGCTCAGTGGCTCATGCTTGCCTTGCATGCATGAGGCCCTGGGTTCAATTCCTCAGCGACACATAAACAGTAAAAACCTGAAGTTGTGCTATGGCTCAAGTGGTAGAGCACTAGTTTTGAGCTGAAGAGCTGAGGGACAGCACCCAGGGCGAGTTCAAGCCCCACAATCGGGGGGGAAAGGGGGGAAGGTGGATTCTAAAGTCATGATGTAATAACGTCTAGAATTTCTTAGACTGGAAGTCCAAGGTCATAGTAGAACTGGGTCTAGAATATGGCAAGTGAATTATTTTAGGTATAAACTTTAAAGGAATAAAAAAAAAAAGGTCTCAATTACTAAGCAATATTCTGTGGCACATCTTATTTAATTTTTTGTTTTTGTTCTGGTCCTGGGATTTGAACTCAGGACCTGGGTACTGTCCCTGAGCTTTTGTGCTCAAAGCTAGCCACTGTTTGGTGATTGGAGATAAGAGTCTCACAGGACTTTCTTGACTCTGTGGCTTCAAACCACGATCTCTGGATCTTAACCTCCTGAGTAGCTAGTGTTCCAAGTGTGTGCCATTAGTACCTGGCTAATTTATTTAATTTAATTAATTTTTGGGTGTGCCAGTACTGAGGCTTGATGTAAGGCTGGGTGTTGTCCCTTAGCTTTTTCCATTCAAGGCTGGCACTTTACCCCTTGAGTCACAACTTCACATCCAACTTTTTGCTGGCTAATTGGAGATAAGAATCTCATAGACCACAATTAAAAAAAAAAGAAGAATCTCATAGACTTTCCTGTCCAGCTGGCTTTGAACCATGATCTGTAGATCTCAGCTTCCTGAGTAGTTTCACCACCCAACTTGTCAATTATTATTTTTTAATTTTTAAATTGGTTATTACAAAGGTCATAAACAGAGGGGTTACAGTTACAAAGTCAGGTAAAGAGTATGTGTCTTTTTGGACAATGTCAACCCTTCCCTCATATTTTTTTTGTCAGTTATAGAGCTTGAAATCAGGGCCTGTCCCCCCTGCTTTTTTGTGCTAAAGGCTAGTGCTCTACCACTTGAATCACAGTGCTACTTCCAGCTTTTTCTGAGTAGTTTATTAGAGATAAAAGTCTCACAGACTTTCCTGCCTGAGCTGGCTTTGAATGGTGATCCTCAGATGTTAGCCTCTTTCTTCTTTTTGTTTTGGTCATTCCTGGGGATTGAACTCTGGGCCTAGGCACTGGCCCTCAGCTCTTCAGCTCAAGGCTAGTGCCCTACCACTTGAGACACAGAGCCACTTTGGGCTTTTTTCTGCTTATGCGGTGCTGAGGAATCAAACCCAGGGCCTCATGCGTGCGAGGCAAGCAAGCACTCTACCACTGAGCCAACTTCCCAGCCCAGATGTTAGCCTCTTGAATAGTTAGGATTACAGGTCTGAGGCACCAGTGTCTGACTGATTATTTTTTTGACTGGACCCAGGGCCTTGCATATGGTAGGCAAACACTCTACCTCTGAGCTATATGCCTTGTCCTAACATGTCATTTTTAGAAGACAAGCATTAGACAGGTGCTGGTGTTTTATGCCTGTAATCCTAGCTACCCAGGAGGCTGAGATCTGAGGATCAAGGTTCAAAGCCAACCTGGACAGGAAAGTCCATGAGTCTATCTCCAATTAACTACTAGAAAAACGGAAGTGGCACTGTGGCTTAAAGTGGTAGAGCTCTAGCCTGGAGTGAAAAAAGCTCAGAAACAGTGCCCAGTCCCTGAATTGAAGCACCATGACACCCCTTCCCTCCCACACAAAGGCAAGTATTAGTGCAAAGTGGTTTATAATTAACAAAATAATGATTTGATTTGATTTTTATTTATTTTTTTGTCCAGTCGTGGGCCTGAACTCTGGGCCTGGACGCTGTCCCTCAGCTCTTCAGCTCAAGGCTAGTACTCTACCACTTGAGCCACAGCGCCACTTCCGGCTTTTTTCTTTTTGCTTATGTGGTGCTGAGGAATCGAACCCAGGGCCTCAAGCATGCAAGGCAAGTGCTGTACCACTGAACCACCTTCCCAGCCCCAAAATAATGATTTTTTTTTTTTGGGGGGGGGGGGTCCGGTCGTGGGGCCTGAACTGTGGGCCTGGGCGCTGTCCCTCAGCTCTTCAGCTCAAGGATAGCATTCTACCCTGAGCCACAGCGCTACTTCCGGCTTTTTTCTTTTTGAGTATGTGGTGCTGAGGAATCGAACCCAGGGCCTCTGGCATGCAAGGCAAGCGCTCTACCACTGAGCCACCTTCCCAGCCCCAAAATAATGATTTTAAAGACTGGATACAGTTCTACCCTTGAATGACTCAATCACGCCACTAACCCTTATTTTGTCCCTGGCTTTAACCTTAATTTTTTATAATCCTGCTTATTAATGAACTTTCCATAAGAAAGATTTTATTTTATTTATTTTTAATTGGTTGTGGGGCTTGAACTCAGGGCTTGGGTGCTGTCCCTGAGCTTTTTCGCTCAAGGATAGTGCTCTACCACTTTGTGTCACATCACGGTTTTCTGGTGGTTAATTGGAGATAAAAGAGTCTCACAAGCCGGGCGCCGGTGGCACATAGCTGAGTGCTGGTGGCTCAGGCCTGTAATCCTAGCTACTCAGGAGGCTGAGATCTGAGGGTCGCGGTTCAAAGCCAGCCCAGGCAGGAAAGTACGTGAGACTCTTACCTCCAATAAATCATTAGAAAACTGGAAGTGGTGCTGTGGCTCAAGCGGTAGAGCTTGAGCTGAAGAGAGCAGGGACAGCGCCCAGGCCCAGAGTTCAAGCCCCATGACTGAAAAAAAAAAAAGAGTCTCACAGACTTTCTTGCCTGGACTGGCTTTGAATCTCAGTCCTCAGATCTCAGCTACCTGAGTAGCAAGGACTACAGGCATGAGCCACCAGTGCCCAGCTGAGAGAGATTTTAATATTCAAGAATAGGAGTTGTGGGCTGGGAAGGTGGCTCAGTGGTAGAGCACTTGCCTTGCATGCTCGAGGCCTTGGGTTCGATTCTTCAGCACCACATAAGTAAAAAGAAAAAAGCCGGAAGTGGCGCTGTGGCTCAAGTGGTAGAGCGCTAGCCTTGAGCTGAAGAGCTGAGGGACAGCACCCAGGCCCAGAGTTCAGGCCCCACGACCAGACCCAAAAAAAAAGAATAGGAGTTGTAATTCTGATCTCTTGGAAATGAAGAAGGATTAAGGAAAATCGTAAAAAATAAAAGTTTCTTCAGTTCTTAGGTTGATACCTTATTAATCTTTTTTTTTTTTCTTGTAGCATGGCGGACACCGACTTGTTTATGGAATGTGAGGAGGAGGAGTTGGAGCCATGGCAGAAAATTAGTGATGTCATTGAGGACTCTGTGGTTGAAGATTATAATTCAGTGGATAAAACTGCAGGTAACAAAAGTTCTTGATATTAGATTGTTTTTTAAATTAATTTGAATGATGTTTTGGTTGAGAAATGTGAGGTGGAGAAGGACTTTAAGGATCCATGAGTTCCTCATGATGGCATTGATGCTATCTTCTTTTCCATGCTGTAATATGAGTATCTTGGTTTCCTTATCCATAAAGCTAGGGGGAAAAAACTATTCATTAAAAACATTGAGAGGTTACATTGACTGTTTATCAAACATCTAGCAATCCTCGTACTAAATGGTGCATGAACACAAATGTTAAGTGGTAGTGTTTGTCAGAAATGATTTACATACCCAGTCAAAATCAGGTTGCTTTGTTTGTTTTACTTGAACTTGGTTTTCTTTGTGATTGAGTAGAAATTGCTTTGTGTTTGCCTTTGTGGGCATGGACAATGTATAAGTTGGGGCTTATTAACTTCTCTTTTGTAAAGGTCATACTGCAAGGTCAAGTTGTAGATTGCCCTGAATTTAGAAAGTAGGTAGCAGTTCCTTTTTTTTTTTCTATCATCCTAAATTGTTGCTCTTTATTTTTCATCATCTTTGCCATGAGACCTGAAGAAGGCATTGATTTAGGGTGAAAGGATGGTGTAGAGTCTTTACAGGTGGCTTTATTTGAATACCAGTAGTGGCAGTAGTAAACCTTTGAAACCCAGAGATTGGCTAGTGTTAGGTAGGCAGAGTATTCAGATCTTGGTTGAGTAGAGTCAGTGAGCTAATTTAATTTAAAAAAAAAAAAAAGTGAGACAAGGAAGATGTATTGTGTCTAAATGGTGGACAGAAGGACTACTAGGCGGAGAGATCAGATGAACAGTTGGATTTATGAATGAAACAGGAAACTTTTTGGCTATAGAGACCAACATGATGAAAAGGGAAGATTAGAGCAGCATCCTTTAGTGTCATCTGCCCTATCTCCCAAGTGACTATGCCTCCCCTTCCCCACAGTTTCTGTGAGCCAGCAGCCAGTCTCGGCTCCAGTGCCCATCGCTGCCCATGCTTCTGTTGCTGGGCACCTCTCTACATCCACCACCGTTAGTAGCAGCGGGGCACAGAACAGCGACAGTACAAAGAAGACTCTTGTCACACTAATTGCGAACAACAATGGTAAGTGAGATTATTGGGAAAATCTTCTGGGTTAGAAAGGGCAAGAGAATAAAAAAGGTCTTAGGGATACCTTTATCTGTTGGTTAGATATTGATGTGGTCTTAATAGTTGGAGAATGACTTTGGTAATGTGTTCTCTATATGAAGATAATCCTGTCGGTGGTGCTGTTCCTTGTAAGGTAGTGCTGAGTTGATGCTTGTGTTTTAAGTCAGAGGTCAGCAGATTTTTACTGCTGCCGATTTTCTAGGAGAGAAAGTGTAAACCCAACTTTCCTAACTATTGTAGAGACCTAGGGTTGTTGGTTCTTTGGTTTTCTTTGTATGTTTTTAAATTAGACTAGTCCTGTTGGTTTGGTAAGAATTTTTCCAGGACAGCTTTTATCTGTAGTTTCTCTGGCAGATTCAGTTTGTGTTGGTTCGTGTGTATGAAAGTAGAATTATTGTCCATTAGAAAGAAATGGTGAAGGAGTAGTGTTTTTATTGATTAGAGAGGCTAAATAGTATTAGTTTTTATTTCATTATTGATAGCTTTCGCTACTAAAAATGAGTTACTGGCAAGTTCTGTTTCGATATTCATAATGAAAATAAGCACTCTCACAGAATTATTGCATTGTTACAGGGACTTTATTTTTAATTATTTTTTTGCTTTAAATAAACTTCTAAGTCAGGCAGCAGTGGCTCATCCCTGTAGTCCTAGCTATTCAAGAGGTTGAGATCTGAGAATTACAGTTCAAAGCCAGCCGGGGAAGGAATATCTCCAGTAAATCACCAGAAAACTGGAAGTGGCGCTGTGGCAGAAGTGGTAGAGCGCTTGCTTTGAGCTGAAGAGCTCAGGGACAGCAGCCAGGCCCAGAGTTCAAGTCTCACAACTGACAAAAAAAAACCCCCAAAACTTCTATTATAAAAAAAATGCGTGCATTGTAGAAAAATCAGGCAATAAAATTAAAAGCGAAAAATTTAGCTGTGATCCTACCACTTGGAGGTAACTTACTTGTAATTCTTCCCTGAACATGTATATACTTTTTTTTGGACCTGGGGCTTGAAGTCAGAGCCTGATCACTGTCTCAGGGCTTTTATGCTCAAGGTTAGAGCTCTACCACTTTGAGCAATAGTTCCATTTCCAGTTCTTTGGTAGTTAATTGGAGACAAACCACATCAAACTGCCATGATCCTCAGATTTCAACCTCCTGAGAGCTAGCATTACAAGCATTAGCCACTGGTACCCTGCTTATATATATACTTTTATATACATTTATTTGCTGTATATAGTGATTTACTTTTGACGAAAATAGTCCATACAGGACTGGAACATGGCTCAAGTGGTTGGGCATAAGTACAAGGCCCTTAGCTCAATCTCCAGTACTAGCCCCCACTCCAACCCCCTCCCCCCCAAAAAAAAAATCATGCAGACTCTAAATTCCCTTTACCTACTTTTTACCCTTGAGGAATAATGAATTACTTCTCATTTTGGTGACTGATTATATTTCTCATTATTTGTTTAGCAATAGGTTGTAAAAGGATTTATTACTATTTTATTTAAAATATTTATTTGGTGAGTCATGGGGCTTGACCTCTGGGCTATTCAGCTCAAGGCTAGTGCTCTACCACTTGAGCCACAGCACCACTTCCGGGTTTTTTGGTGGTTTATTGGAGATAAGTGTCTCCCAGACTTTCCTGTCCAGGCTGGCTTTGAACCGTGATCCTCAGATCTCAGCCTCCTGAGTAGCTAAGATTACAGGCGTGAGCCACTGATTCCTGGCTGTTTATTTTTATTTTATTTTTGGTTGGTCATGGGGCTTGAAGTCTGGGCCTGGGCACTGTCCCTCAGCTCTTCAGCTCAAGGATAGCGGACTACCACTTGAGCCACAGCACCACTTTCTCATTGCTATTTTATTTATTTATTTATTTTGTTGGTCATGGGGCTTGAACTCCGGGCCTGGGCACTGTTCCTGAGCTCTTCAGCTCAAGGCAAGTGGTCTACCACTTGAGCCACAGTGCCACTTCCGGTTTCTGGTGGTTTATTGGAAATAAGAGTCTCATGGACTTTTCCTGCCCAGGATCCTCAGATCTCAGCCTCCTGAGTAGCTAGGATTACAGGCTTGAGCCACTGGCACAAGCCCTTATTGCTATTTTAAAGAGCTACAATAAATATATCAGTTGGAATTTTTTCTCACATCCTTTAATTGAGACTACATTGCTAATAGTGATCTCATTGAATCAAAGGTTATCACAATTTTCATTGATTTGCTCAATATTGTTTCTGGGTTGGCATCTAAAAAAATTTGTTTCTTTTAGAATAATAATGTCTGATTTTCTTAATTTTGGAAAGGATCATTGATACATGCATTCGCCTATTATTGGACATTGTTTAGTGTCCCATTTTTTCACTATTAAAACAGTGCTGTGATAAAATGTTCTCAGATGTGTGTCTTTGCCTATTATATAAGCTTATCTGTAAGTGAAATCTTAGAGACAAGTTGCTGAGTTAAACTATTAAAACTGCTGGGTGCTGGTTGTTCACCCTGTAATCCCAGCTCCTTAGGAGGCTGAGATCTGAGGATCGCTGTTGAAAGCAATTAACCCACCAGAAAACTGGAAGTGGTGATGGTGGCTCAGAGTGATAAAGCTCTCAGGGACAGTGCCCAGGTCCTGAGTTCAAGCCCCACAACCAACAAAAAAATTATCAGACTTTTTCAAATCTTTATAGTTCTGAATTTTGGGATATTAGAAGTATGATTAATATTTCATGGGAAATGAAACTTTGGAAAACCTACTAGTAGGAAATCTTGTGTATATAAAGATGGGGAACCTTGCTAGACAGCAATGGTAGTGGCTTACATCTATAATCTTAGCTTCTTAGGATGCTGAGATCTGAGGATCGTGGTTCAAAGACAGCCTGGGTAGGAAAGTCCTTGAGACTCTTATCTCCAACCACCAAAAAGCTGGAAGTGGAGCTGTGGCTCAAATGCTAAAGTGCTAGCATTGAGCAAAAGAGCTCAGGGACAGTGCTCAGGCCCTGAGTTCAAGTCCCAAGACCAGCACCAACAAAAAAGAAAGAAAAAAAAGATACAAAACCCTTATTTATAGTTCTCGTATTGCACAGATGTGTAAACTGAATCCTAGAAAGTGTAAATAATTTAAGGTCAAATAGTTGGTAGGTTACTCAAGTGGATAGAAGTTACCTAGATTTCAAGCTTGTGTTTCCAATGTTATTACATTGCTTCCTGTGTTTCTCTTAACCTAGGAACCAATTTAGCTACTTATTTTTTTGGGGGGGGATCAGTTGTGGGGCTTGAACTTGGCTTGGGCGCTGTTCCTCAGCTCTTCAGGCAAGTGCTCTATCTCTTGAGCCACAGCACCAGGTTTTCTGATGATTAATTGGAGAAAAGAGAAAAGAGTCTCACTGACTTTCCTATCGACTTTCCTGCCTGGGCTGGCTTTTTTTTTGGTCAGCCGTGGGGCCTGAACTCTAGTCCTGGGCGCTGTCCCTCAGCTCTTCAGCTTAAGGCTAGCGCTCTACCACTTGAGCCACAGTGCCACTTCTGGCTTTTTCTGCTTATGTGGTTTTGAGGAATTGAACCCAGGGCCTTATGCATGCAAGGCAAGCACTCTGCCACTGAGCCACCTTCCCAAGGGGCTGGGAAGTCAGCTACTTTTCTTTGATCCAAGTGCTCCATAGACCCATACTGAGATAGCTGAGCATCTCATGACATGCTAAGAATCTCTTAAGTCTCCTTGACTCTTTGAAATTACCCTGTCTGATTCCTGTGTCTGCATAGACCAAATGGAATAATGTAAAATATATGTATTAATTTTCTGTACCTTAGAAACCTTTAGTATTTAGAAATGTTAACCCATGTTAATAACAAATATAAGAGGTGTAGACTGGTAACCACATTTAGGTATTTTTTGCATATGTCAAAAAGTTCTATACATAGATAAATTGTCTAATTGTCTTAACTATTTTGAGGGGTGGCATATACCACACTTATCATCAGATCCTCTCAAAATGCTAACCCAAATATGAGGATGAGGCTTTGGATTGAATGAATAAATGAAAAAAAATTAAAAGCATAAAAAACAACAAAAAAAGAAGAAAAATAAATGAAAAAATGATAATTCTCTCTTACAACCCAGATTCTCTTTAAACCTTCAGTTTACTTATATATTGTCACATTATAATAATAGCATAGCAAAGGAGAAAAACTTATGAGCATTTCAGTATTGGTTTTGTTGTTGTTTATTTGTTTTTGTGCTGGGGCTTGACCTCAAAGCCTGGGAGCTGTCTCTTAGTTTTATCATTCAAGGCTGGCACTCTACCATTTGGGCCACAACTCTGCTTCCTTTTTGTGTGTGTGTATACGCTGGTACCAGGGCTTGAACTCATTAGGGTTTGGGCTGTAAGGTTCTTTAGCTTTAGGGTTGGCGCTCTACCTCCAGCTTTTTGGTGACTAATGAGAGATGAGAGTCTCATGAGCTGTCCGGCCTAGGCTCGCTCTGAATTCTGTACCTCAGATCTCAGCATCCTAAGAAGCTACGATTATAGATGTGAGTGACTAGCATCCGGCAGGGCTCCATGTCTTTTTATACGCACAAGAATTCCTACTAATAAAATTTTCAAAAAGAAAGGATTTCCCATGAAATATTAATCATACTTTCAATATCCCAAAATTAAGAACTATAAGGATTTAAAAGTAACTGTAGGGCTGGGAAGATGGCTCAGTGGTAGAGCGCTTGCCTTGCATGCCTGAGGCCCTGAGTTTGATTCCTCAGCACCACATAAGAAAAAAGAAAAAAGCCGGAAGTGGCGCTGTGGCTCAAGTGGTAGAACACTAGCCTTGATCTGAAAAGCTGAGGGACAGCACCCAAGCCCAGAGTTCAGGCCCCACAACCGGACCCCCCAAAAAAAGTAACTGTAAAGAGTTGAAAATCTGATAATACCTAATGTTCATAACAATATAAGGAAAAACTCACTCGGGGTCACTTATTTAGAACAACCTCATTGAGGCAACTTGACAATGTCTACTAAGGGAGATTGAATTTGGGGCCTTCTACTGGCTAGGCAGGCACTATTCCTTAGCTGCAGCTTAAGTAAGCATCCAGGCTCTGAGTTTAAGTCCTAGGATTGGTACAAACAAAGCAAAAACCTATGGCCAGTGCAGAGCCAGGTGCCAGTGGCTCATCATGCCTGTAATTCTAACTACTCAATAGATCTGATAGCAAGACTTGTGTCCAATTAACCACTCAAAAGCTGGAACTGGAGGTATAACTCAGTGATAGAGTGTCAGCCTTGAGCAAAAAAAGCTAACGGAGAGTTCAAGGTCATGGGGTGCAAGCCCCATACTGGTGCATGTGCACAAACAAAACACACACACACAAACAAATGGAAAAAAGAGACAGGTGATGAGGCTTAAGTGATAGAACTCTTGCCTTGCAAACAAGGCCCTGAGTGTAATTACCAGTACTACCCCACACACACACAAAAAAAGATTAATAACTTAAGCTAATATATTAACCTGGCATGGTTTTAGATGAGTGTAAAAGTGGTAGAACACGTAACAAATGTGAAACCTTGAGTATTTAAATTGGTCCACCTCTAAGATGAGTGGTAGATTTAAGAATGACTGGTTGTCACTGTACTTTGTAAGTTAAATTTATGTAACATTTTAAGTGGATCAAATGTTAAGGTAAAGAAAGTTATAAAGAAAGGACTGGGAAGGTGGTTCAGTGGCAGAGCACTTGCCTTGCATGCATGAAGCCCTGGGTTCAATTCCTTAGCACCACATAAACAGGAAAAAAAAAAAAGCCAGAAGTGGTGCTCTGTCTCAAGTGGTAGAGCGCTAGCCTTGAGCTGAAAAGCTGAGAGACAGCGCCCAGGCCCAGAGTTCAAGCCCCACGACCGGACCGAAAAGAAAAAAACGAAAATTATAAAGAATAGGTGACAATTGCTTGGGGGCACTATTTTGCCTTATATGCCACAATCTCTCTTGTTCCATGGAGGGTGATAATCAGTCAAATTAAGAATGTGTAATCCTAACCTGGGTACTGGTGGCTCTCTCTATAATCCTAGCTACTCAGAAGGCTGAGATCTGAGGATCGCAGTTCAAAGCCAGCCCAACAAGACTGTCCATGAAACTCTTACCTCCAGTTAACCACCAGAAAACCAGAAGTGGGCTGTGGCTCAATGTGGTAGAGCATCCTTAGCTTTGAGCAAAAAAGCTCAGGGACAGTGCCCAGGCCCTCAGTTCAAGCCCCACAACTGACAAAATCCTATCCTATTTGTTAGATAAGATGTATAGGAAATAAGTAAATTTCAGGATACCATAATGCCTAATTTTGTAGTCGGCTGTAACCTTTTTTTTTTTTTTTTTTTTTTTTGGCTATAACTTTGTGCTAGTTGGACAGATTGACTTTTTTTGTCGGTTGTGGGGCTTGAACTCTGAGCCTGGGCGCTGTCCCTCAGCTCTTCGGCTCAAGGCTAATGCTCTACCACTTGAGCCACAGCACCACGTTGGGCTTTTTCTGTTTATGTGGTGCTGAGGAATTGAACCCAGGGCCTCATGCATGGGAGGCAAGCACTCTACTACTGAGCCACCTTCCCAGCCCAGACAGGTTGATTTTTAAACATCTATTTACTTGGAGGACAAGAAATTTATGAAAAATAAAAGAAAATGTCAGGGCTGGGCGCTGGTGGCTCATGCCTGTAATCCTAGCTACTAAGGAGGCTGAGATCTGATGATCACAGTTCAAAGCAAGCCTGGGCAGGAAAGTCTGTGAGATTTTTATCTCCAGTAAATCACTCAGAAAACTGGAAGTGGTGTTGTGGCTCAAGTAGTAGAGTGCTAGCCTTGATCTGAAGAGCTCAGGGACAGTGCCCAGGCCCAGAGTTCAAGCCCCATGACCGACAAAAAGAAAAAGAAAAAAAAAATGTCAGGAATAGCAAAAACAGAAAAATTTCAGGAAGTTAAAGGCTCAGACTTCATGATTTTAGAACTAACCTTCAAAACAGTACTTAATTTGTTTAAGAATAGGTAGAAGAATGGAATACAACTGAGTGTCTATTTTATGATTAGTTGAATTTCAACAAGGGTGCCAAGACAGTTCAATGGGGAATTTTTCTTTTTTAAACAAATGATACTGGGACAACTGGATACTTTCTTACACATGGAAAAGAATGAAGTTATATCTATAACCTCACTTCATATGCAGAATTAGCTTTTCCTAAGTATGTGTTAGTCAGCTTTCTGACACTATAATAAATGCCTCTGATAATTAACTTAGCTAACATAAAGGAAGTTTTAAAGTTTTCAGTCTATACTTGCTTGGACCTATGGCAGCACTTCATGATTGAAATAAGTGATAGAGCAAAACTACCCACCTCATGGTTGGAAACCAAAACAGAAGAAAAGATTCCACAGTGCCCTTTGAGGGCATGCCTCAATAACATGAAGACATTTCATGAGGCCCCACCTTTTTAAAGTTTTCACTACTTCCCAGTATTGCCGAACTGAGGACCATGACCATGGTCCTTTATCCAAGCCATAGCAAAGTAGATCAGACCTTAAGAACTAAAGACCTGAAGAACAGTGGTGCTAGTGGCTCATGTATATAATACTAGCTACTCAGGAGACTGATATCTGAGGATCATGGTTCAAAGCCAGTCCTGGCAAGAAAGTCTGAGATTCTACCTCTAACCTCCACTTAACCACTGGAAAACTGGAAGTAGAGCTGTGGCTCAAGAGATAGAGTGCTGGGCTGGGCACTAGTGTCTCATGCCTGTAATCCTAGCTACTCAGAAGGCTGAGATCTATGATGTAATCCTAGCTACTCAGGAGGCTGAGATCTGAGGATCATAGACAGGAAAGTCCGTGATACTCTCTTACCTCCAATTAATCTCCAGAAAACCAGAAGCGGCACTGTGGCTCAAATGGTAGAGCGCTAGCCTTGAGCTGAAGAGTTCAGGGACAGCACCCAGGCCCAGAGTTCAAGCCCCATGACTGACAAAAAGACAGAAAGTTAGGGTGCTGGCCTTGAGCACAAAAGCTCAGGCCCTGAGTGCCAACCCCAGGACTGGCATTAAAGAACAAACTACAACAACAAAAACAGAACTAAAACTACAAAAGTTCTAGAAAAAAACACAAACTAAATCTTTAAAATCATGCAGTAGGCAATAGTTGCTTAAAAATGACACTAGAAACCATAAGTAATCAAAAAATAGACAAATATAGACTTTAGACAAATAGACTTTATGAAAAGTAAAAATCTGTTAATGCTGCAAAGAATACAATTAAGAAAATGAAAAGAGAATCCTCAGAATGAGAGGAGAAATTTATAAACAATATGTGGGGCTAGGCACCGGTGGCTCATGCCTGCAATCTTGGCTACTCAGGAGGCTGAGATCTGAGAATCAAAGCCAGCCCAGGCAGAAAAGTCTGTGAGACTCTTATCTCCAATAAACTACACTCAGAAAAAGTTGGAAATGACACTGTGGCTCAAGTGATAAAGCGTTAGCCTTGAGCACAGAGACTTGGGGACAGAACCCATGACTTGAGTTCAAGCCCCAAGACTGGCAAAAAAAGAAAAGAAAAAAAGAATATTATTAGTCATTAAGGAAATACAAATAAAGAAACAGTGAGGTACAGTTTCACGATTTTTCCCATAATTGTTAAAGACTTGAGTTGTTCAGATTGGACACACTAGCTTTGAGTATCACTCATCCCTGGTTAATAATACATGGGTGAGATATTAGTGAACCACCTTGACCTGTTTGGTTTTCTATTAGTTGTAGATTTAGATAAAGCCTAACTTTTTGATGTATTTGATAATGTTAAACTTGGAGTGGCAGATAACAGTTCTTATCTAAGACCATATTTCTTAAAGTATGGAGTTAGCAATATTTCTAACATTCCTTTTTTCCTCCCCTTTTCCTTCTTCCTTTTATCTATTAGCTGGCAATCCTTTGGTCCAGCAAGGTGGACAGCCACTTATTTTGGCCCAGAATCCAGCACCAGGCCTGGGAACAATGGTTACTCAACCAGTTTTGAGGCCTGTCCAGGTTATGCAGAATGCAAATCATGTGACTAGCTCCCCTGTGGCCTCACAACCAATATTCATCACTACTCAGGTAAGAGTCTCAGTTCTGGGATTGGTAGAGGAGTTAAAGACTATTGAACTTCTGGAGGCCTTTATTTAGACAAGGTCTTCAGTGCCATTAGAAATAGTTATGTCTTATCTCAAACTGGATTTTCTTATTTACTGTTCATTAATTTCTGACTTTTGTGGAAAGCCCAGCAAAACATTTTGGCTGGATACGATTACCTCTTCATATCTTTTGCGGTCTGTTAATTGATTTGATTAAGTCTTAATGGGAATTAGTGGAAAAGCTAGGTTTAGCTTCACATTAACTGGTAAGCCTTCTTACCTTTATCTTGGTATGCTTTTCTTCACATGGGGTAACTTAAAAGACTTTTGTGTGTCTATATATGAAATTAGTGATCTTTGAAAGAGAAGAAAACAACTTATTTTAGGTTGAAAGCCTAGGATGTAGAGTCCAAAGGCAAATGTTTCCCTTTGTCTTTGGCTTCTTAATTTATAAAACCTTCTATTAATTTGCTAGTGGTTTATGGCCTTTAAAGTGGACTTTGGGGGGCTGGGAAGGTGGCTCAGTGGTAGAGTGCTTGCCTTGCATGCATGAGGCCCTGAGTTTGATTCCTCAGCACCACATAAGCAGAGAAGGCCGGAAGTGGTGCTGTGGTTCATGTGTAGAGTGCTATCCTTGAGCTGAAGAGCTGAGGGACAGCGCCCAGGCCCAGAGTTCAGGACCCACAACCAAAAAAAAACAAAAAAACAAAGTGGACTTTGGGAATAATTTCTTAGGGTTGTTTACATGTTGAATCACTTTAGTGTGAATATTGTTAGTGTTTTTATTTTTGTTTTTTCCCCTTCTATGCTTTTAGCAGTTTAGGGTCAAGTCTATAGATACTTTTTTTTTTCTCCTTAAGCTGAAGCTCAGTTAACTCAGGAAACACTTTTCATTTTCATTCACTCAGTCTTGAGTTTTGTTACTCAAAAGTTTGCCTAACAAAGAAGACCACAAGTTCAAGACCAGATTAGGCTACATAGTAAGATCCAGGTCAACCTGGGCTACATAGCAAGACCCAGATCAGCCTGGACTCTGTCTCAAATCCAAAAAGCAAACAATGGAATAAAGAAACCCAAACAATTAAAAAGAATTTGCCAAAATTTCCTTAATTTGTTTTCCATCTCAATCATTTGAGAGCTGTTAACTATAGAGATAGAGCCATTAGGTTAGAGTATGGGAATTTTATTTTTTTTACTGCAGTCAATGTTAGTGTTAGGTGTTCTCCTTATTAAAGATTACTTTGCTTTTTAATACAGGGATTTCCTGTAAGGAATGTTCGGCCTGTACAAAATGCAATGAATCAGGTTGGGATTGTGCTGAACGTACAGCAAGGCCAAACGGTTAGACCAATTACACTAGTCCCAGGTAAGGAAAAAATGTCGATCCATTTGGAATAAACTGGCATTAGAAAATTTGTTTTTTACTGTTTCAAAATACTCCCGTACTAAAAAGGTATAAAGAAAATATTTTTTAAAAATCTTCATGAATTAAGCCCAACTTTAAATAACAACTTTCTAACCTTTGGCCAGGGTGGTGGTTTTATTTTTCTGTTTAGCTCTTCACCACCCTTTGTGAGGTAGTAAAACAGTTTAATACATTTTTTAAGAGCTGTTTTAGTCAGCTATTAAATTTATTATCCTGAAAGAATTATTAATGGAAACTCCCAAATTCCCAAATGTATTCTATGAACATCTCCTATAAGTGGTGAGATTATAAATTTTGCCTTATAGAATTGACTTTTCGATATAAATTAAATGATACATTCTTTGAAGCTAACACTATCAGTGACTAATGCTAAAGATTCTTGAGACTAGGAGTATAACACAGTGGTTGAGCACCTTCATAAAATTCAAGAGGAGGGTCTAGGTTGAATTCCCAGGAATTCAAGAAAAATTCTTTTCCTCTTATGAAAAAAGTAGTATAATTTTCTCCAAATTCCTCACATTTCTTCCATCTTAAATTTTCTACTATCCAGTAAAAACAATAAAACTCCAGTCAGGGTACTACTATACTTGTCTTCCTAAGAGTCTTTGGTTTTGGTTTTGGTTTGGTTTTTTTTTTGTTTGTTTGTTTGTTTTTGTTTTCTGTTACTGAAGCCCACATTGGATTCTTTTTTTTTTTCCTCTAGTGTTCTAGTATTTCTTAAATATTTCTCCTTGGAATTGTCTAAAATTGTGCCAAGACATCCTGATAGACGGACAGTCTGTACTCTCGTTGAATTTATAAGAAGATGGAGATGTTAGTGTTCTGAGAAATGAATCCCTTTTTTCAAAGCCAAGTCTTCCCTTTGGCTTATATACATATATCCAGACTGCTTTCCACTCTTTTCTAATACAAAGATCTACTCATAATTAAAAAGGTAGTTTGGGAAGATGTTTTGGAAGAAATTGATTGGAGTCTTCAGTTTAAAATAATTTAGGTTACTTAGAATAATTTCTTTTGTTACCTTGTACACCTACTACAGTTTCAGATTTTAGGATCTATACTTTTCTTGATTACCTCTGATGAGCACCAGTTTGTGGAATAATTTTTTTCCTATCTTATTATTTCTAATAAAGGCAAGAGAGGGTATAGATGAGCTCATTGACCAAGATTTGATATATTTCTCTGTCTCTTTTAAAAGCCCCAGGTACACAGTTTGTTAAGCCGACAGTTGGAGTCCCACAAGTGTTCTCTCAGATGACCCCAGTGAGGCCAGGCTCCACAATGCCTGTGAGGCCAACCACCAACACCTTCACCACTGTCATCCCAGCTACTCTAACCATTCGGAGCACCGTCCCACAGTCCCAGTCACAGCAGACCAAGTCCACTCCCAGCACTTCCACAACTCCCACTGCCACACAGCCAACCTCATTGGGGCAACTAGCTCTTCAGCCTGCAGGCCAGTCCAACCAGACCTCAAATCCCAAGCTAGGTGAGGCTTGGGAAGAGGAGATGGCAAACAGCATGGGGTAATGGGTGGGTAACAGATGCTTATCACTTGGCCAATGTAGCTCCCTCCTTCACCTCTCCACCTGCAGTGAGCATTGCCAGCTTTGTCACTGTGAAGCGACCAGGGGTTACTGGTGAAAATAGCAGTGAAGTGGCCAAATTGGTGAATACTCTTAACACCATCCCTTCCCTGGGTCAGAGTCCTGGGCCGTTGGTGGTATCCAACAACAGTTCTACCCATGTTGCTCAAAGAACCAGCGGACCTGAATCTTCAATGAAAGGTATAGTAATTTGAGAGGCCTTGAGTATCTAGTCATTCAAAACCCTTAACAAGTATTGGTCCCATCAGAAATCTACATTCTGAAATTAGAAAAACAAAATATAGGTGCTTTAATTTGTTTCTTGCAGAAACTTCAGGGAAAATTACTGAGGAATTCTGTATGTAATCATGCTTCTGAGTTTGATTAGCGAATTAAATGGATTGATCAAAGATGGGTAGGATAATCAGTGGATAATTAGTGGTTTTGTGGAAGAAGTATATTTTTCAATAGTGTTTTAAAAGTTGGAATTTAAAGAAGATTTCAGATCAGAGGTTTTCAGGTTAAGGATATGAGCACAGTAAAGGGGTTGGCAGATTTTCTATAAAGGGTCTCATGCAAATATATTAGGTTTTGTGTATAATATGGCCTCCATTGCAACTACTGAGTTGTGCTGTTGTAGTGCAGAAGCAGCAGCAAACAGTCCATAAATAAATGAGCTGGGCTGTGCTCCACTTTAATAATATATGGACTCTGAAATTTGAATTTCATATAATTTTATGTGGCAGAAATTTTTATTTTAACTCTTTAAAAATATTAAAGTTTGTAACAAGTGATGTTGAGAAACTAGATAGTAATATCCAATAAATAGGAAATTGGACTTCCTTAAATGAAATATAAAACTTAGCTCAAAGTAGATCAACGACCTTAAGTATATGAGCTGATATGGTTGCATATGTCTTTAGTCCCAACTATTGGGGAGGCTGAGATGGGAGAATTGTCTGAGCCCAGGAATTGAAGTGCAGCCTGGGCAACATTTCCAAATCTTGTCTCAAAAACACAGGCTGGGTTATACCTCAGTTTTAGAGCACTTGGCTAACATTCACAGGCACTGGGTTCAACCCCGAGCACCACCAAAAAACGATGGGGGTGGGGGGCGCTTTAAAAAATATAGGAAGAAAGTGGCATGATAGTAGATTTGACAGTGATTTCTGTCTCTTGGTTATCAGAAGCACAGGCAAGAAAATAAAAATTACCAAACTGACATAAAAATTTTAAACTTTTGTGCATTAAAGAATACTGTTGCTGGGCTCTGGTGGCTCACACCTGTAATCCTAGCTACTCATGAGGCTGAGATCTGAGGATCACCATTCAAAGCCAGCCTAGGCAGGAAAGTCCATGAAACTCTATCTAATAAACCACCAGAAAACTGGAAGTGGTGCTGTGGCTCAAGTGGTAGAGCCACAGCCTTGAGCTGAAGAGTTGGGGGATAGCGGCCAGGCCCAGATTTCAAACCCCACAACAGACCAAAAAAAAAAAAAAAAAAAATACTATCAGCTAGGTACCAGTGTTCTCACGCCTGTAATCCTAGCTATTCAAGAGGATCCAGATCAAAGCCAGACCAGGTGGGAGTCTGTGAGACTCTTGCCTCCAAATACCCACTAGAACACTGGAGGTAGAACTGTAGCTCAAAGTGGTAGAGCCATAGCTCTGAGCAAAATGGCTTAGGGACAATGCCCAGGCCCTGAGTTAAAGCCTCACAACTAACCAAAAAAAAAAAAAAAGCCAGAAATGGGAGTTGAAGTTCAAGTAGTAGAATGCCAGCCTTGACCAAAGCTCTGTGACGGTGCTAGGCCCTGAGTTTCAAGCTCCAGGACTGGCACTAAAAAAAAGTACTGTTGTCAAGTGCCACTGCCCTACACCAGTAATCCTAGCTACTTAGGAGGCTGAGACCTGGAGTATTGAAGCCTTTTTGTTCTTTCGTTTTTGTTTTTGTTTTTTTAAATATAATTTTATTATTAGTAAGGTGTTAGACATAGGGGTACCATTTTACAATTCGGATAATGAATATATTTCTTTTTTGGACAGTGTCACCCCCTTCCTTTACTTTCTTCCCAGTTTCCCCCTCTTGTCCCTGCCTAGAAGTTGCTTAGTTCATAGTATATACTGATTGTTTACCCTTCCTCTCTCCCTTTCTGGGCCCTTTTTGCCCCCTCTCCCAAAGAAAAAACCCCCAAAACAAACACCACCAACTGTTACCACTACCACCACAAAAAAAAAGTTTCCATTTCCTGGAATTCATTTCAATAAATAGTATTTCAAATGTTTAGAAGAGTTCTTTGGTTACTTTCCTTAAGAGTATCTTCCGTTAGTCTGACTATGTGTGAATGCCTAGAGTCCTGTCTAGGTTCCCACGTCCAATTATATTTTAGATCTAGCTTCCACATGTGCCCTTTGTCTCTCTGAGCTTGGCTTACCTTACTTAACGTAATTTGTTCTAGGTACATCCATTTCCCTGCACATGACATAGTATTCTTTCTAATGGATGAATAAAATTACATTGTGTGTATGTACCACATTTTTGGATCCACTCATCTATTGTAGGGCATTTGGGCTGTTCCCATAACCTGACTATTGTGAACAGTGTAGCAGTGAACGTGGGTGTGCAAGTGTCTTTACTGGATCGTGGCTTATAATACTCTAGATAGATAGCCCCAAGAGTGGTGTAAGTGGGTCATAGGGAAGTTCCATGTTTTTAGTGTTTTGAGGAACCTGCAGAGTGGTTTACATTCTCACCAATGCAGTTAGATTCCTTTTTCCCCCATCCCTGCCACCATTTGTTGTTCCAGTTTTTTATGTTGGCGAATCTGAGGTGAGATGGAATCTCAAAGTTGTTTGTTTGCATTTCCTTTATGGCCAAGGATGTTGAACGCTTCTCTTATGTCATTTGGTATTCTTGCTTCTTAGAAGTCTCCTTTTAGCTCCTTTGCCCATTTATTGATTGGTATATTAGTTTGGGGGGGGGGAACCTATTTTTTTTTTTTTAGCTCATTGTATATTTTTATATTAAGCCTCTGTTGGATATATTGCAGGTAAATATCTTCTCAGTCTGTTGGCAGTCTTTCTAGTTTAGTAATTAGATCTTTTGCTGTACAGAAACTTTTTTTTTTTTTTTTGGTCAGTTGTGGGGCCTAAACTCTGTGCCTAGGCGCTGTTCCTCAGCTCTTCAGCTCAAGGCTAGCATTCTACCACTTGAGCCACAGCACCACTTCCACCTTTTTCTGCTTATATGGTACTGAAGAATTGAACCCAGGGCCTCATGCATGCAAGGCAAGCACTCTATCAGTGAGCTACCTTCCCAGCCCCTGTACAGAAACTTTTCTTTTTTAATTGTGAAAATACTGTACAGAGGAGTTACAATTATATGGGCAAGGTAATGAGTACATTTCTTATCAAGCATTGTTGCCTCCTTTGTTTCCCCTTCCCATCCCTTCCCTCCCCTCCCCCCCGCCACCCCCCCCCCCCCCCCGCCACCCCCCCACCAAAGTTGTAAAGTTTGTTTTTTGACATAATGTCTTGTACATCTCATTGTTGCAATGGTACAGAAACTTTTTATTTTGATGTACATCCATTTGTCAAGTCTCCTATTTGCTGTGTCCTTGGGACACAGCCTATGCCTGTTTAAGCTCTAATTTTTCTCCTCCATTTTATAATACTTTCTGATGTTTCAGGTCTGACTTGAGGTTTTTGATCTACTTTGAGTTGAATTTGGTGCATGGTGACAAATAGGCATACAATTATAGTTTTTTACATATGAATGTCCAGTTATCCCAACACCAATTATTGAAGAGGCTCTCTTTTATTCACCATACACATTTGGTTCCCTTGTCAAATATCAGATAACTGTAACTGTATGGCTTTATTTCTGGGTCTTCTAGTCTTTTCTGTTAATTACTAGACCTGTTTTTGTGCCACTACCAAACCATTTTTGTCATCATAGCTCTGTAATAGAGCTTGAAGTCTAGAATTGTGATGCTTCCCTGCTCCCCCCCCTCCCAAAGTTGTTTTGCCTATTCGAGGTCTTTTTGTTGTTCCATATGAATTTTTGGATTATTTTCTCTTTCTTTGTGACAAAAACACCATTGGGATTTTGATGGGGATTGGGTTAAGTTTGTAGATTACCTTTGGCAGTGTGGCCATTTTCATGATACTAATTCTATCTACCATGAATTCTACCCGTGAACAGGGGAAGTCTTTCCATTTCCTGATGTTGTTTTAGATTTCTTTCTTCAGCTTTTTTTTTTTTTTTTTTTTGGTCGGTCATGGGGCTTGAACTCTGAGCTTGGGTGCTGTCCCTGCGCTCTTCAGCTCAAGGCAAGCACTCTACCGCTTGAGCCACAGCGCCACTTCTGGTTATCTAGTGGTTTATTGGAGATATGAGTCTCACAGAGCCAGGCGCCGGTGGTTCAGGCCTGTTATCCTAGCTACTCAGGAGGCTGAGATCTGAGGATCGCTGTCCAAAGTCAGCTCGGGCAGGAAAGTCCGTGAGACTCTTATCTCCAAAAAGCCACTAGAAAACTGGGAGTGGGTGCTGTGGCTCAAGCGGTAGAGCACTCACCTTGAGCTGAAGAGTGCAAGGACAGCGCCCAAGCCCAGAGTTCAAGACCCATGAATGACAAAAAAAAGAAAAAAAAACCACTACATTGAAGGACTGGGAAGGTGCTCAGTGCTTGCCTTGCATGCATGAGTCCCTGGTTCAATTCCTCAGCACCACATAAGCAGAAAAAGCCAGAAGTAGTGCTATGGCTCAAGTGGTAGAGCACTAGCCTTGAGCTGAAGAGCTGAGGGACAGCGCCCAGGCCCAGAGTTCAGGCCCCATGACCAACAAAAAAAGAAAAACAGACCTACATTGAGATACAGTATCATACCCTGTATGATACCAAGAATACAGAATACAGCCAAGTGCTAATAGCTCATGCCTATAATTCTAACTGCCAGGAGGTTTGAGATTGCGGTTCAAAGCCAGTTCAGGCAAGAAAGTCCACAAGACACTTATTTCAAATTAACTAGCCAAAAGGTGGAAGTACAGCTATGGCTTAAGAGATAGAGCGCCAGCTTTCAGCAAAAAAGCTAAGGGACAGCACCAGTCCTTTTAATTCAAGCCCTAGTACCAGAACAGTAAAAAAGAAAAGGAAAAAAAAAAAAAAGAATTGAAGTGGGGAAAGTGGAATCTTTGTGTTCTGTTGGCAATAAAGTGATATAGCCACTATGGAAAACAGTATGTTGGTTCCTCAAAGAAATTTTAAAAAGGGACTGGGAATGTGGCTTATTGGTAGAGTGCTTGCCTAGCATACATGAAGCCCTGGATTTGATTGCTCAGCACCACATAAACAGAGCCTGAAGTAGTTCTGTGACTCAAGTGGTAGAGTGCTCTTGAGCCAAAGAAGCAGGGACAAGCACCCAGGCTCTGAGCTCAAGCCCCAGGACTGGCCAAAAAAAAATATTAAAAAGCATTTGACAAGGTGCTCGTGGCTCATACCTCTAATCCTAGCCACTTAGGAGGCTGCGATTTGAGGATTGCAGTTCAAAGCCAGCCCAGGCTGGATAGTCCATGAGACATCTCCAGTTAACCACAAAAAGCTGAAAGCAGAGCTGTGGCTTAAGTGGTAGAGTGCCAGCCATGAGCACAAAAACTCAGGGACAGAGTCCAGTTCCAGAGTTCAGTTTCCCAGACCAGCATGTGTGCGTGTGCACGCGCACACAATTTTTACTTTGGGAATTCCACTTCTGGGTATATGTCCAGAACCAAAAGGGAACTTAAACTGGTATTTCTACACCCAGACTCATAGCTATATTATTTACAATAACTGAAAGGTGAAAGTAAGTCAAGTATCCATAAAGTGATGAATGGATGACAGAAAATATGATGTTTATATATACAAGTGTATATGTATATATAATGGTACATTCTCACATTTAAAAAGAGTGTTCTTCTGATATATGAGACAACATGGAAAGAAACTTAGGACATTGTACTGAGTGAGATAAGCCAACCACAAAAGAACAAATGCTGTGTAATTCCACTTACATTAGTTATCTAGAGGAGAAGTAAGATCATGGAAGACAGAAAAAATTGATTGTTAGCCAAGGAGAAAGGGAGTTAGTCTGGTTGGGTAGTATTAGGGTTTTAATTCAGGGTCTCACACATGCTAAGCAAGCACTCTACCACTTGAGCCACTCTGAGGGCCCCTTTGTATACTGGTTGTTTTCAAGATATAGTAGCACTTTATGTAGAGGACCTGCATAAACTTCTGTCTTCTATTTGTGTTTCCCTTGTTACTACAATAATAGTCATGAATCATTGTGTCTAGCCATTAGTAGAGATGGAGTCTCACAGTCTTTTTTTTTTTCTTTTGGTTGGTCGTGGGGCTTGAACTCTGGGCCTGGGCACTGTCCTTCAGCATTTTAGCTCGTTAGTGCTCTACTACTTGAGCCACAGCACCACTTCTGGTTTTCTGAGTGGTTTATTGGAGATAGTCTCACAGACTTTCCTGCCTGGGCTGGCTTTGAAACACAATCCTCAGATCTCAGCCTCCTGAGTAGTTAGGATTATAGGCGTGAGCCACCGGTGCCCAGCTCTCACAGACTTTTCTATACAATTATTCTTTGAAACTTGATTCTCCAGTCTCCACCTCTTAAGTAGCTAGGATTGCCAAGGAGTTATTTATTAATTTATTTTGTCTTATTAGTAAGTAGTTGTACAGAGGGGTTACAATTCCATAAGTCATGATATAAGTACAGTGTTTATTGTCAACCCCTTCCTTCATTCTATCCCATTTCCCCCCTCCTGTATTTACCCTCAAATAGTTCAATTTTCACATAATGTACATTGAATATAATGGCTGTATTTGCTAACCCTTCCTCCTTCTATTCATGTGCTTTCCCCCCCTTTGCCTACCCCCTCAAAACATCTTTCCACTTCCTGGTATTTATTCGGGGAGTTTTTTAGTGGGGGAGGGAGGAGTTGGGGAGGTGAGAAGGGAAGAGATGATAAGGGAAAAACAAAGGAGGTAGGTAACAATACTCGATAGGAAATGTACTATTACCTTACTCATGTTAACTATAACCCCTTTATACAGTATCTTTACAATAAAAAAATATGTATTTTAAAAAAAAAGAAAAAGCTGGAAGTGGCGCTGTGGCTCAAGTGGGAGAATGCTAGCCTTGATTGAGCTGAAGAGCTGAGGGACAGCGCCCAGGCCCCACAACCAAAAAAAAAAAAAGTTTCAGGGGCTGAGGTGTAGATCAGTGGCAAAACACTTGGCTCACAAGTATTTGGTACTGCGTTTGATCCCCAGTACCAAAAAAGAAGACAAAAAAATACAATTAAAAGAGTTTCAGGGGCTGGGAAGGCGGCTCAGTGGTAGAGCGCTTGCCCTGCATGCCTGAGGCCCTGGGTTCGATTCTTCAGCACCACATAAGCAAAAAGAAAAAAGCTGGGAAGTGGTGCTGTGGCTCAAGTAGTAGGGCACTAGCCTTGAGCTGAAGAGCTGAGGGACAGCGCCCAGGTCCAGAGTTCAGGCCCCATGATCGGACCCAAAAAAAAAAAAAGAGTTTCAGTGTAAGTTGAAGAGTTCTGGAAATTGTACAACAGTGTAAATGTACTTGATACAACTAAAGCATACACTTAAATAGTTAAGATTGTAATACTGTTTTATACACACACATATATTTTACTTATTTATCATGATTTTAAAAAAGAAAATGGTACATACCTATAATACCAGTACTCCACAGTCTAAGGCAAGAGAGGATTTTGAGTTCAAGGCAAGCCTATATTCTATAGTTTGACTCTGTCTCAGAAACCAAAATAAGTTAGTTAAGTGATAATCAAAAAAAGTTACTTAATAATGTAGTGTAATACTGCAAATTAAATACTGTAAATTACAGAAATGATGAAAAATGATTCTTAGCTGTTAGACCAAACAGAAACTGGTAGTTGGGCTGAATTTGGTCACTTGGCTCTAGTTTGCCAATCTTTTGGCCTAGAATTAGAATAGTAAAAAGAATGCCTTAAATACAATGTTTTCTCATGCTTGCTTACTCTTGGATATTCCTCTCAAGAGTATTTGGTGCTATCTGTTATCATATTAATCTTAACTAATTCTCATTTTTTCCAGTGACCTCTTCCATTCCAGTATTCGACCTCCAGGATGGTGGACGGAAAATATGTCCACGGTGTAATGCTCAATTCCGTGTTACTGAAGCTTTGAGAGGTCACATGTGTGTAAGTGATACCTGCCCATGATAAGATCTAGCTTAAGTAGTTACTGCTGTATACCTCCTTTTCTGTTGAGAACCTGAAAAGCAGGGGTTCTAAACTAACCTGAAAACTTTTTAAAGAATTATTCTCTCTCTCAATCTGTTAATGGGAATGTAATAGGATACATTTACCTTCAATAGGACTAATATATATTTGTGTGTGTGTGTATAAAACTTCTCTCTCTTTTTTTTTTTTTTTTTTGGTTGATCATAAGGCTTGCCCTTGGGCATAGATAGGCACTGTCCCTCAGCTCTTCAGCTCAAGGAGGCAAGCACTCTACCTTTTGAGCCACAGCATCACTTCTGGTTTTCTGGTGGTTTATTGGAGATAAGAGTCTCATGTACTTTCCTGCCCGGGCTCGCTTTGCACAGTGATCCTCAGATCTCAGCCTCTTGAGTAGCTAGGATTATAGGCATGAGCCACCATTGCCTTGGCTAACTTTATTTTCTTAACATGGTAGATTCTTGAAACTGCCCAAGAAGACAAACTGCATTCTTAGTTAAGAGTAAAAACATTGACCGTTTCTATTATTTATATAATTGAGTCAATTAGAAACTGTTGACTACTTCCTGTGTTCTAACCTTTTCACTAAAGGCAAAGAGAGCTTAGAGTCAAATGATACTAGTGACAGGCTAAGTGATCTAAGGCAGGCAGGATAAAGAACTATAAGTTTTGATGCTCAGAGTTTATATGGCTCTGGATGTACACTGGAAGGAGTGAGATCTGGAAACAGAAAACTGAAGGATGAACACTTAATAAGAGTATCTTAAATACTGGGTGCTGATGTGAGTTTATACTCACAGCTCATCAGGAAGCTGAAGTAGAATTGCTTGATCCAAAAAGGCCAGCCAGCCGGACACTGGTGGCCTTATCTCCCAATAAACCATCAGAAAACCGGAAGTGGCGCTGTAGCTCAAGTGGTAGAACGCTCGCCTTGAGCTAAAGAGCTGAGGGGCAGCGCCCAGGCCCAGAATTCAAGCCTCATGGACTGACCAAAAAAACAAAAAGGCTAGCCTGGGTAACAGGACCCTGGTCTCCAAAAAAGAAAAGAAAAGATAGAGAAGCAAAATCTTACCACTTACAGTAACAAAAGTGTTACCAAGTTGCCCACATCCTTGGTCAGAGGATAATTAGAATGACCACACCTCATCTTTCTTTATAGTACTGTTGCCCAGAAATGGTTGAATACCAGAAGAAAGGAAAGTCCCTGGATTCAGAACCCAGCGTCCCATCAGCTGCAAAGCCTTCATCCCCTGAGAAGACAGCTCCTATTACTTCCACACCCTCTTCTACACCTATTCCTGCTCTGTCACCACCTACCAAAGTACCAGAGCCAAATGAAAATGTTGGTGATGCTGTCCAGACCAAGCTCATTATGCTAGTAGATGATTTCTATTATGGACGGGATGGTGGGAAAGTAGCCCAGCTCACAAGCTTTCCTAAGGTTGCCACATCTTTCCGATGCCCACATTGTACCAAAAGGCTAAAAAACAACATTCGGTAAGTGTTCGCAGATTAGCTTTCACAAAAGAAAAACTAAATTGTTTAGTTACATCAGCTTTTGTTTTCGGAAAAAGGTCCTGTAATGCAGTCTTGCTTGGTGGTTTTAGGGAATCAATAAATAAGTAATACTATAGAAAGGGGAAGATATTGTAGTAACTTTGTATAAAGTAAAAAACAAAAAACAATGCATCTCCTTCCATAGAACTTTCAGTTTCGAGAACCTGCTACTTTTCTAGGATCAGGAAAGGTCTGTCCAAAATAGAGGAAGTTGGGGAGCGAGAACTAGACTAAAGGTTGTTCATGGTTCTATCATTGTATTTCTCAAAGGCTGCTGATGTTGTTTTCTGTACTTTCTGCTCTCTGCTACAGATTTATGAACCATATGAAACACCATGTAGAACTCGATCAGCAGAATGGTGAGGTGGATGGTCATACTATCTGCCAACATTGTTATCGCCAGTTTTCCACTCCCTTCCAGCTCCAGTGCCACTTGGAAAACGTTCATAGTCCCTATGAATCTACTAGTAAGTTTGGAAATTTAAACCCCAGGGGAATCTGTTTTGGTCATCAATCATTGAATGGTACTAGAGGAGAGCCTTATATTTACTTATATGAAGTAACAGTGTTTGTAGCCATCTTTTAACTTCACTTACCCTCCATTCTTGCAAGGCTGATTTAAAGGACTTGCCCATTAAAACAGTACTTTAGAGTGAAATGTGTGATGGGTTGGAGTGTTAGCTACACTATATCTCACAGAAAAGAAAATACATTTCAGGCAGGCGCTGGTGGCTCATGCCTTTAATCCTAGTTTTCAGGAGGCTGGGATTTGAGGAACACAGTTCCCCCCCCAGGCAGAAAAGTCTTTGAGATTCTTATTTCCAATTAAATCACCAAAAAAGCTGGAAGTGGAGCTGTGGCTCAAGTGGTAGAGTGCTAGCCTTGAGCACAAAAGCTCAGGGATAGTGCCCAGGCTGAATGCAAGCCCCAGAAGCCCCAGGTAGGACCAACCACTTCAGTAGTCCCTTCTAACTACTCAGGTGGCTGATGTCTGAAGATCACAGTTTGAAGCTAGTTGGGGCAGAAAAGTCTGTGTGACTCTGTTCTCTAATTAATCACCAAAAAGCCAGAAATGGAGCTGTGGCTCAAGTGGTAGAATTCCAGCCTTGAGGGGGATGGGGGAAAAAAGCCAAGGAACAGTGCCCAGACCCCTATATTCAAGCCCTAAAATTGGCACAGGCACACACACAGACACTTACATTTCTATTCAGATGTTATTGTAAGAATTTTAACCTGATCTTCAGAATATTTTTAATGTCCTTTAAGGAATTTACCTTTTCAACAAAAGGTAAAAATTATGTAAGTTGTAATTACAGCTTATAAGAACAAGATAATATATTATGAACATATATCCTATCAGTCATAAATGAGATAATTTAGAGACTGGAAAAGATCTTTTTTTTTTTTTTTTGGGTCCAGTCGTGGGGCCTGAACTCTGGGCCTGGGCGCTGTCCCTCAGCTCTTCAGCTCAAGGCTAGCGCTCTACCACTTGAGCCACAGCGCCACTTCCGGCTTTTTTCTTTTTGCTTATGTGGTGCTGAGGAATCGAACCTAGGGCCTCATGCATGCAAGGCAAGTGCTCTACCCCTGAACCACCTTCCCAGCCCCAAGGAAAAGATCTTTTCGACAGGTTTCACAAAAAGTGGTAGTTAAACTTTTAGAGTCTAAATATAGAAAATATTTGTACCAATGGAAATTAGTAAGAAAAGCTTTTGGGTGGTTGGAAACTGTGTGATCTAAAGCATGGTGGCGCATGTTGGTATTCAACAAGGAGGATGAGACAGGAGGATCACGAGTTCAAGACCAGCCTGAGCTACACCTTTAAAGCATAAAGACAAATAATGCATTAAACATCAGTTATGAGAGATTGAGAAATAGAGCAGGCTTTAAACCCAGAAATTCTCTGCCTTGCTGTTTCTTAATGTTTTGTCTCTGGCTTATGACAGGGTTTCTGTGTTAGTTCCAGGCACTGCATTGAATACAGAATTATCTAAACACACAAATCACTTTTTTCCTCTGTATGTTGCAAGTCTTTTCTCTTTTTTCTTTTTCTTTTTTCTGCTTGAACTCTGGACCTGCGCACTGTCCCTGAGGTGCTTTTGCTCAAGGCTATTGTTCTACCACTTGAGGCACGGTGCTACTTCTAGATTTTTCTGAGTAGTTTTTTGGAGCTAAGAGTCTGATGGACTTTCCTGCCTCAGATCTGAGATCCTCAGATCTCAGTCTCTTAAGTAGGTAGGATTACAGTCATAAGCCACCAGCACCTGGACCTTTTAGCGACTTTTGAACTAGATGTATAATATTTATTGTAGCCCTGTATTTGTCCTGATGTCATCCTATTTTAGTAATAAGGATTCTGATAAAGTGACAAGATTTTTAGTTGTACAAGGGATGGCTTTATGTTACAGTTCCACACATATATCCCAATTAATCATAGTCATTCTCTTACCCTTCTTAAAACAACTTAACAGGTTTTATTGTTCTACTTTTTGACAGGCTAAAATCTTTGACTATATTCATTCTCATTCACACATCCCTATTAGCCCAACCCACTTCTGCTGGTACTCCCCCCTCCACTGCAAACCCTACTCTGCCTCTGTCTCCTACAGATTCTGATGAAAAAGGTTTTTTTTTGTTGGTTTGTTTGTTTGAACTCAGTCTGGGCGCTGTCCCTGAGCTCTTCAGCTCTTCTGCCTCGGCTGGCTTTGAACCACGATCCTAAGATCTCAGCCTCCTGAGTATCTTTATTACATTTCAAGTGTTCAGTAACCATATGTTGCTGGTAGCTTCCCTATTGTCTAGTGAAACTTTGGATTAATCATTCTGCAGTAGAATAAATATTGAAATCAGTTATCATGACAATATAGAGTGATCCAGGAGAGTCAATTTGGTCTAGTTTAGGACTCAAAATTACTCTCTATCAATGATGTGGATATAAAAATAGAATAATGCACTCAAACCTCCCAGATCAAAAACACTTATTTCCTCTCCCACCCTCCAATGTTGGGGATCAAACCAAGGTCTTGCACATTCTAGGCAAATGCTCTGCCACTGATTGCTTATATGCCCAGAGGCGGGTAGGTTCTTGTTTCACTTATATATGGGTTCCACATAGAAAAGGCACATTTTTCCTTGTGAAAAAAAGTGCAGGCTGCTTGGATATTTTTTCTCTCTCTTGACTTCCTACTCTCTTGTCCCTGACTTTTAAGTGTTCTAGTTTCTTATGCAGAATCTGTTCTTATCCACTATTTAATAACTTGTCAACCTAAGGAGATAAATACCTTTCCTTAGTAGGTATCAATTTTATTCTTGGATGTCATTGTAACTCCTTTGTTTGTTTGTTTTAGTACTGGGTTTGAACTCATGGTCTTCCACTTGACTTCTTGAGCTACATCTCCACTTCTTGATTTTTCCTTGTTAATCAGAGATAAGAATCTTGAGGATTTGTCTTCCTGGGCTAGAACCATGATGCTCAGATATCAGCCTCTTGAGTACCTAGAATTATAGGCATGCTTTAAGTATGTGACTCTTGGTTCTTTCATAGTTTTAATTTTTTGTTGTTGGGTATTTTTTTTTGTTATATTATTTTGTTGTTGGCTTATATTGTAAAAGGGAGAGAATTTCACTGTTACATCTCCACACATTCATACTATACTCCAATCTGTTTCACCCTTGGGTTTGTTTGTTTGTTGGTGGTTATTTTTTTGTTTTTGGTGCCAAACCTGGGGCTTAAACTCAGGGCCTGGGCACTGTCACTCAGTGTTTTGGCTCAAGGCTAACGTTCTATCATTTGAACCAGTTCCACTAGGTATCAAACCGAGGGCCTTACATATGTTACATTTCATCTAATAATACTAGATCTATTCATGTGTATGTTGGTCCTGGGGCTTGAACTTTGGGCCAGGGCACTGTCCCTGAACTTTTTTGATCAAGGCTAGTGCTCTTCCACTTGAGCCACAGCACCTCTTCCAGCTTTTTTGAGTAGTTAATTGGAGATAAGAGTCTCACAGAGTTTCCTTTCCCGGCTGGCTTTGAACTGAGAACCTCAGCTCTCAGCCTCCTGAGTAGCTAGGATTACAGATGTGATTCATGAGCACCCAGCTTGGGTTAGACTTCCAATCTTTTAAAAAAAATCTGGAGCCAGGCACCGGTGGCCCACACCTGTAATCCTACCTACTCAGGAGGCTAGATATGAGGACCATGGTTCAAAGCCAGCCCAGGCAGGAAAGTCTGTGATACTCTTTTTTTTTTTTTTTTTTTTTTTTGGTCCGATCGTGGGACCTGAACTCTGGGCTTGGGCGCTGTTAGCACTCTACCACTTGAGTCACAGCGCCACTTCCGGCTTTTTTTTTCTGCTTATGTGGTGCTAAGGAATTGAACCCAGGACTTCAAGCATGCAAGGCAAGCGCTCTACCACTGAGCTACCGTCCCAGCCCTGTGATACTCTTATCTCTAATAAACCACCAGAAAACCAAAGTGGTGTTGTGACTCAAATGGTAGAATGCTCTCCCTGAGCTGAAAAGCTGAGGGACAGTGCCCAGGACCAGAGTTCAAGCTGCATGACTGATGACAAAAAAAAAAAAAAAATCTGTTGGTGGAAAGAAGAAATGAGGAAGAGGTAAGATTGAGGGATGTATGCTGTAGGGGAATTAATCATGTTCAGCTGCCAGCAAGAGGAGCTGATGTGGATAGATTTTGGTTTTTTTCTGGGGGGGGTCGGTTGTAGGGCTTGATCAGGGCTTGGGTACTGTCCCTGAGCTCTTGATCAAGGCTAGTACTTTACCACTTTGAGCCACATTGCCAGTTCTGGTTTTCTGGTGGTTAATTGGAGATAAGAGTCTCATGGACTTTCCTGCCCTGGCTGGCACCACTAGGTCCCAGCCTATGTGGGTAGATTTAAGAGGGGGAACTAGTTGATGACAATCTGGAAAACCATGGAATGGTGAGGTTGGTAAACTTTAGGAATACAGATTTATTCTTCCATAATTTGGAGAAGATGTCATAGTTATGCTTGTTTTCTCAAAGTAGGAGACTGTTGTAGGAGTTGAGGTAAAGGTGACCCCTGTGCTAATGTGCTGAAAAGGACAAGTGCTCCATAGCCTCTAGGAGCCAGTCTTTAATCATTTCATACGTCCATGTGGAATTTTGTGTCAGATTAGCAGATCTCTTAAATTCTGATAATTTGGGTTCCTCTCAGTAATGTTTTAGGTATGAGATAATATGTGTCAATCTCTGAGTAGTATTTGTGCATTAAAAATTACATTAAGTGGCCTAACATTGGTGGCTCACGCCTGTAATCCTAGCTACTTGGGAGACTAAGATATGAGGATGGTGGTTCAAAGCCAGCCAAGGCAAACAAATCTAGGAGGCTCTTATGTCCAGCTAACAAGTAAAATAGCAGAATTGGAGATGTGGCTCAAGTGGTAGAGCATTAGCCTTAAGGTGTAAAGTTAATAAAGAAGAATACAAGGTCCTGAGTTTGAGCCCATGGGCCAGCATGCGCGAGGCACACATACACAAACACCTTAACCTTTTTTAAAATTTATTTACTGTTATAATAGAGTTGATTAACAGAGGGGTTACATTTACATGTGTCAGGTAATAAGTACATTTCCTTTTGTACAGTGTCATCTGTTTCCTCATTCCCATTCCTGCATTAACCTTTTATTATTGGTATTGTATGATGACTATGACATAATCATGCAATTGTGTAGGAAAAGCCACTGAGATTGAATGAGTTTGTTTGTCCAAGGAAGAAAAGTAAGAAAGGCTGGGACAGACAGGCATTAACGCTTAAAAGTGTTCTAGAAAAAAAAGAGAGAACTAATTTAAAAGAGATAAGCAAATTGAGAGATAAGAAAAGAAGAAAGTATTGTGATGCTTCCCGTTAACTTTCTCGGACATGTACTTCTCTACCTACATGTGTTTTCTCCTGCTTCTCTTGTTTCCTGTTTTGCAATCCCATTTTCTAAAGATTCAAGTTGTATATCTCACAGCCTTTCCTCATCCCTCAAGGCAGGATTTCTTATTTATCTCTGTCCTTGTAGCACCTAACAATCCTCTGAGCAGTAATTTTAAATGGGTGTGCAATCAGGTTTCTTTGAGAAGAAGCACAAAATCTGGAACTCTTCTGGAAATTTAGATATTTTCCTCTTTTGCATGTAATTTGAGAGGATGTCTGAGTTTTCTGAGCCTTGTTTGTTGTCCCAAATTAACAACTTTTTCTTCTTAAACAATTATCCTTAAAGGATTATTTCAACATCACTTCCCCCCTCTTCAATGCCCCCCACCCCCATCCCCACCCTCCGAGATGGAGCTTGAACTCAAAGCCTAGATGCTGTTCCTGAGCCTTTTTTGCTCAAGCTAGTGTTCTACCACTTGAGCCACAGCTCCACTTCTGGCTATTTGGTGGTTAATTGGAGATAAAAGTCTCACAGGCTTTCCTGTCTGGGCTGGCTTGGAACCACAATCCTTAGATCTCAGCCTCCTGAGTAACTAGGTTTATAGGCATGATTCACCAGCGCCTGGCTTCATTATTTTATTTTTTCCAGTCCTGGGGCTTGAGCACTATCCCTGACTTCTTTCACTAAAGGTTAGCACTCTACCACTTGAGCCACGGTGATACTTCCAGCTTTTTCTGTTTATGTGGTACTGAGGAATTGAACCCAGGGCTTCATGCATGCTAGGCAAGCACACTTCCACTAAGCCACATTCCCAGCCCATCACTTATTTTTTTACTGGGTGAAGGAATTGGTCATTGTCCAGTCAGTGCTTAAAATTTTAAGTCTACAATTTCATATTTGCAAAAACTTGAACATAATTATGTAAGCAAAGAAATAAAAATAGATATTTTTGGGTGGGATCATACTTTATAATATGACACAATTAAAATTTTAACCAAAATTATGATTTTTTAATATACTTGACAAATTTTAAATTATCTTGAATGTGTTAATGCAGGATAGGGTAACAAAGACCATCTATTCTAATTGCTAAGTCTTTTGAGAGCAAATTCTTACTTGTACTCAGATGTTCAATAGATACTTGTTTTATTATTCACAAAATCATTGTCTTTAAGGATAGGAATGAAACATGTAGTTAGTTTTTAAAAGAATTCATGCATCACCCATGTGCCAGTGGTTCATGCCTATAATCCTAACTACTCAGGAGGCTGAGATCTGAGGATCACAGTTCAAAGCCATCTGGGCAGGAAAGTCTGAATTTTTTAATTTAAATTTACTGATTAACTACCAGAAAACCAGAAGTAGTGCCGTGGCTTAAAGTGCTAGAGTACCAGCCCAAGCTCTTGAGTTCAAGCCCCATGACCAAAAGAAAAAGAAATAGTGTGTAAAGAATGGATATACTGTGTAGATTTATTGGAGATTCTACAGATATTGAAAGTCAGTTGCTTAGCATTAGGAAGTCATAGGGATTTTTATGACATTTTTGTCTATAGTAATAGATAAATAACAATTCCTAGATCATTTTGAAATAATGATAACAGAAAATGGCTATAGAGTCTGAGACAATCTAGAGTTAAAAGGTAGAAAAAGATAAAGTGAGGAGAGGGGAAATGGGAAGCAATAGAATATGAATTAAGTTAGAATTGAAAATAGAATGTTTAAATTAAATGTAAATAGTTCAAAATCTAGAGTGAAGCTGTGGTAAGAAGTCAGAGCTAGAGAAAGGTTAGTTATAAGCAATTCAAATGCTGAGGCAAAAGGAATTGATTTAAAGAAAGACTAGAGGGAAAATGATCTATTGACTGTTGAAAATGAAGGAAACAGATCAGGAGGACTTTGGTTTTACTTTAAGGTCAATTTATTGATTCTTATTCTTACAGCCAAATGCAAGATCTGTGAGTGGGCATTTGAAAGTGAACCACTGTTTCTCCAGCATATGAAGGATACTCACAAGCCTGGAGAGATGCCTTATGTTTGTCAGGTATTGCCTTTTTCTCCCTCTAGTTTTAGCCAGTTTGCTCTCAGGCTGAAAGCAAATAATCCTTTTTCAAAAGAAAAAATATAGCTCTGATGGCTCACGCCTTGTCATCCTAGCTACTCAGGAGGCTGAGAGAGGATCACGGTTCAAAGCCAGCTCAGGCAGGAAAGTCTTTGAGACCTCTATCTCCAGTTAACCCCCAGAAAACCAGAAGTGGTGCTGTAGCTCAAAATGGTAGAGCACTAGCCTTGAGCAAAAAAGCTCAGGGACAGCGCCCAAGCCCACAACCAATAATAAAATAAAATAAATAAATATATATGTATATGTGTGTGTTTTTGTTATTAAGATGGTGTACATAGAGGTTACCATTCACAATTCAGCTAATATATACATTTCTCTTTTGGACAATGTCACCCCTTCCTTCACTTTCCCCCAGTTTCCTCCTCCCATCGCTACCCACAAGTTGCATAGTTCATTTTCCGCATAATGTATAATGAATATCATGATTGCATTTGTTCACCCTTTCTTCATCTGTTTCTGTGCTCCTCCCATTGACCTTCCACCGCCCCCCCCCCCCACCTCCCCGCCAACCAAAAAAAAAAAAAAAAAGAAGGGGGGGAAAAGCACATATAACACCACCACCAACAACAGCATAAATAACCCATGTTTCCATTTCCTGGAACTTGTTTCAATAAATAATATTTTAAGTGTTTGGGGGATGTTACGCCTTTGAGATTCCTCCCCTACTGGTATCCTCCTTTGGTCTGACTGTGTGTGTGTGTGTGTGAATGCCTGGAGTCATGTATAAGTTATCACATCCAGTTATAATTTAGATCTAGCTTCTGCATATGAGATAAAACTTGTGCCATTTGTCTCTCTCAGCTTGACTTGCCTCACTTAAACATAATTTGTTCTAGGTCCATCTACTTGCAAATGACATTATCTTATTCTTTCATGTCTGTGCAAAATTCCATTGTGTATAACTACCACATTTTTTTGATTCACTCATCTACTCCAGGGCATCTGGGCTGTGTCCCATAACGTGGCTGTTGTCAGTAGTGCAGCAATGACCATGGGATGTGCAAGTATCTATAGAGTATCCTGACTTGTACCATTCTGGGTAGATGCCCAACAGTGGTATGGCTGGATCATAGGGAAGTTCTATGTTTAGTTTTTGGAGGAACCTCTAAACTGCCTTCCATAGTGGTTGTACAGTGTACTAGGAGTCCTTTTTCCCCACATCCCCACCTCCATTTGTGGTTGTTTGAATTCTTGATAGTGGTCAATCTAACTGGGGTAAGATGAAAGCTCAAGTTTGTGTGAATGCAAATAATTCTTAAGGAATATTTCTAAATACTTGCTGCACATGCTCAGTCTTAGACCTCTGAAGAATAGGAAAAATAACATGTAATTTTTATCTTTAACATTCCATGTTGGAGAAAAACGTATAATAATCACAGTAAAATATTCCCAAGAGAACATCCATAGGTAGGTAGGTAGATAGGTAGATAAATAGACAGGGAAGGAGGGAGGGTGAGTTGTTTTCTTGGACTTTTGAAGACATACAGAGAATTTTTTTCCCTTAGTTATTAAATATAGATTGTAGTAATGTTTTTCTATCATCACAGTTTTTATCTTAAGTCACACCTGAGCTTACCACAGATACAGACTTGCATTACAAAGTCGGAAAAAATAATTTTATGCGTTTAGGAAAACTTTTTCCTATTTACAGTTTTTTGTTACTTTTTTTTTTAGATCTCAGTTGTTCACTCTTAGCCTTATGTTTCCTCCTCTGTAACTCAGGTGTGTCAATATCGCTCCTCCCTCTACTCTGAGGTAGATGTCCATTTTCGGATGATCCATGAAGATACCCGGCATTTGCTCTGCCCTTATTGCCTGAAGGTCTTCAAAAATGGCAATGCATTCCAACTCCATTACATGAGGCACCAGGTACTAGGCACCAGGCCATTCCTTTGGTCTTATTTGTTTGATTTATAGATGCGGGGCAATAGTTGTGCTGGAGAATATACATATGCTTGGAAAAATTACTCAATTTCAACTGTGTGCCATCTTCTAAGGTAGGTGCTAGTGGTAGATAAACAATGGTACAGTGACGGTGACAAGATTTTTGTTAGGAAGAAGTATAGGATACAGGAAAGCATATACCTCTGTTGGAACTAGAGAATAGTAGTATTCAAGACCTGAACAATGAGTAAAAATGACATCTAGGTAAAATAGAATGGAAAATAGAGTACCTGGGGCACAGGATAAGACTGGAGATTTACAAAATAAGGTATATTTAGCATAGACTGAGGTTTGGAAGTTTTAGGGAACAGAGTAGGGAGGATCTTAAGATTTTGTACTGGTTCTTCTGAGGTGAGTGGATTAGAGTTTAAGGCCAGTTAAGACTAGTCAGAAGGCTTTTTCAGCAGTAGAACTAGATGAGAGGTATAGTGATTATTGGTTTTTAAGATGAAAAAAGGGTATATGAGATAGAATATATTATGACCCTAGAGAATGGAGTAGGTAAAAGTAGGAAAAGCTGGTTGCCAGTGGCTCACACCTGTAATCCTAGCTACTCAGGAGGCTGAGATCAGAGGATCTAGGTTGAAAGCCAGCCCAAGCAGAGAAGTCCCCATGAGACTTGTTCTGTTTACTTCTATTTTCAGCAGGTTTGAGTGCAGAGTCTACACTTGTTAGGAAGGTATTCCATCACTGAGCCATGCCTCCATCCCAAAAATTCAGGGTTTCTGTTTCAGTAAACAGTCCTATCATTTACTTAATTGCCAAAGATATAAGTTTAGGGCAGTGGATTTTTTTGGTATAATCCAGACTGGCTTCAAACTCAATACTTCTGTTCTGGCCTTTTGAGTGTTGTTAAGAGTCCATTTTTTTTGTTGTTGGTTGTGGGGCTTGAACTCTGAGCTTGAGCACTGCCTCTGAGCTCTTTAGCTCAAGGTGAGTGCTCTACCACTTGAGCCACAATGCCACTTCCAGTTTTCTGGTGGTTAATTGGAAATTAGAGTCTCATGGACCTTCCTGCCCAGCTTGGCTTTGAACCACAATCCTCAAATCTCAGCCTCCTGAATGAGTAACTAGGATTACAGGTGTGAGCCACTGGTGCCTGGCCTTGTGTGATTCTTATCTCCAATTAACCACTCAAAAGCCAGAACTGGTAGAGATATGGTAGAGTGCTAGCTTTGAGCATAAGAGCTCAGAGACTGCCCAGGCGGAGTTCAAGCCCCCTGACCAACAACAACAAAATGAATGGACTCTTAACAACACTCAAAAGGTCAGAAGTATTAAGTTTGAAGCCAGCCAGGACTATACAGACTGAAAAAAAAAAAAAATCCATTGCCCTAAACTTACATCTTTGGCAATTAAATGAATGATAGGACTGTTTACTGAAACAGAAACTGAATTTTGGGGATGGGGGCATGGCTCAGTGATGGGATACCCTCCTAACAAGAGTAGACTCTGTACTCAAACCTGCCGAAAAAAGAAGTAAACAGAACACAATTGTTAGGATATTCTGTATCAGCAGTATCTATGGACTTCAAGTATAGCTGTTAAAATGTTAAAAAGGCTCAGACCTTTTTAACTACTACTTTTAGCTACTCAGGAGGCTGAAAGCTAGTCTGGGGAGAAAAGTCCAGGAGACTCTATATCCAGTTAACTATCAAAAACCTAGGTCTGAGAAGGTAGCTGAGTGGTAAGAGTGCTTGCCTCACATGCATGAGGCCCTGAGTTCTATTCCTCAGTACCACATAAACAGAAAAGGCCAGACGTAGTGCTGTGTTCTCTAGTGGTAGGGCATTAGCCTTGTGCTGAAGAACTGAGGGACAGCACCCAGGCCCAGAGTTCAGGCCCCATGACCAAAAAAAAAAAAAAAAAGCTAGGCTCTGGGCTGTGGGCATGTAGCTTAGTGGTACAGTGCTCGCCTACCATGCCTAAAGCCCTGGGTACCACATAAACCCTCAGTACCACATAAACAGAAAAAGCTGTAAGTAGCACTGTGTCTCCAGTGGTAGAATCCTAGCTTTGAACAAAAGAAGCTCAGGAACAGTGCCTAGGCCCTGAATTCAAGCCCCAGGACTGGCAAAAAAAAAAAAGCCAGACTGGAAGTATGGCTCAAGTGGCAGAATTCTAGCTGTGAGTAAAGAAAAGCTGAACAAGTAGCTGAGCAAGTATGAAACCTTGAGTTCAAACTCTCATACCTATAAAAATAGTCAAGTCTAAAGTCTGGGACAAAAGTTGTTGAAAAGATACTTAGGAATCATTCTTCTGCTTCTTTTTTTTTTTTTTTTGGGGTCGGGTCGTGGGGCCTGAACTCTGGGCCTGGGTGCTGTCCCTCAGCTCTTCAGCTCAAGGCTAGCGCTCTAGCACTTGAGCCACAGCGCCACTTCCGGCTTTTTTCTTTTGCTTATGTGGTGCTGGGGAATCGAACCCAGGGCCTCATGCATTGCAAGGCAAGTGCTCTACCACTGAGCCACCTTCCCAGCCCCTAGGAATCATTCTTATATAAATCCAGTATATTTAAAAAAAACTTTTCAAGTGTCAGGCTCTCCAGCCCTGTCTGGAACAAGGGAAGGAAAGGCTTAGGATTCTTCAAGTCTGTAGCCACAAAGCCAGCACCATAGTCTTAGAGGGAAACGTGATATAAGGGAAGCTGAAAAGTATATGAAAAAAAAAGGTATGATTAAAATGTCACATACTGTAAGAAGGTAGCAAGCAAGATAGACAAATTTTCATTAACGAACCATTTTGTTGTTAAAGTCAAATTCTACAAATAAGAGGGAAGGAGACAGATTTGTTTATGAAGAGGTGAGGAAAGAGGTAGATCTAGGAGCAAAAAATAACAGGAAAATTTAGGATTTTGCTGGTTGTGGTATATTTCACTTACAAGATGGACTAAATGTGACCTTATTTTAAAATGCTACCAGAAAGGAGCTACTAAAACAGGAAAGGAAGGCATGCATATAAACAGATTATAAAATGCAGGACAAATGGGTACACGTGGCTCAGTGTGTGTGAACCCATGCCACTTGTAAGTAACCCCCTTCAATGAACTTACAGAGCAGTGACTACTGATACTCTACCACAAAGGTATTTCTAAATAGGGTACAGAAATTGTCATATTTACTTGCTACCTAAGGAAAGAAAATCATAGATATGAGTCCAACTTCTGAAAAACTTCAGTACTGATTTAAGAAGAAATGCAGCAAGATAAAAATTAGTGTATTAACTTATCATTTGTGTTTAAAAAAGAAAAGAGCTGGTGGCTCACACCTGTAATCCTAGCTTCTCAGGAGGCTGAGATCTGAGGATCCTGTTTCAAAGCCAGCCCAGGCAGGAAAGTCCATGAGACTATCTGCAATAAACCACTCAGAAAACCAGAAGTGCTGTGGTTCAAGTGGTAGAGCACTAACCTTGAGCTCAAATGCTGAGGGACAATGCCCAGGCCCAGAGTTCAAGTCCCACAACCAACAAAAAAAAAAAAGAAAAGAAGGTAGTAATCCCATACGAATGGTTATATACACAGACTGCCCATGAAAATGTATTCAGAAAACTAGTAATAAAAGCCAGGATCTAGTGGCTCATGCCTGTTGTAATCTTAGCTACTCAAGCTGAGATCTGAGGATCGTGGTTCAAAGCCAGCCTGCATATAAAAGTCCCTGTAGAGCCAGCCCTACCCTTTACTACCCTTGAGCAGAATCGCTCAGGGCCAGCACCCAGTCCCTAAGTTAAAGTCCCATGACCCACAAAAAAAAAAAAGAAAAAACTAGTAACGAGAAAGGAACTGATGGGAAGAGTTAAAACCTATAACGTAGGTTGAGTTGAAGGTATGAATTGATTTGCTTGGTGGTTTTGCCATGTCCCATTTAAGAGTCAAAAAAAGAAGCATTTACAGGAATAGGTAGCACTGACTGCAGTATAAAGATAGGATTATATAAAGTAGGGACCAGTAAGTTTATGTCACTGGTCCAGATTATTACAGGTCAGGAATTGGTGGCTTATTCATCTTGGCCTTGATTCTACTTTTCCTACCATTGATTCTCAACAGTAGGGTTCTTACTCTCAAGAAGGGAAGAATGATGCGAGAAACGCTGATCAACCTTCTCAGAGAAGAAAAGTCATTGGGAACCTTTAACGAATTTTTGTTTTTCTTTCCCCTTCAGAAGAGAAATGTTTATCACTGCAACAAGTGCCGGCTGCAGTTTCTTTTTGCCAAGGATAAAATTGAACACAAGCTTCAGCATCATAAAACCTTCCGTAAACCCAAGCAGCTAGAGGGCTTGAAACCAGGCACCAAGGTAAAGGGTTTGTCAAAGTTTCTTTTACAGAGTCAGAAAGGGGGAGAAAAGAGATTTGCAGTGTTCCAAGGTTTTTGTGGGTAGAATCTCACTCTTTATTCCCTTAACTCTCAGGTGACAATCCGGGCGTCCCGAGGGCAGCCACGAACTGTTCCAATATCCTCCAGTGATACACTTCCCAGCACCTTGCAGGAGGCAGCACCACTGACCTCAGCGGATCCCCTGCCTGTTTTCCTTTATCCCCCTGTCCAACGCAACGTCCAGAAGAGAGCCGTTAGGAAAATGTCAGTGCTTGCTAAATGCCGGGTGGGAGGGGACTGTGGGGGCAGGGTTATTTCTGATACACAGTTGTAAGCACCTCAGCAGGGTCAGTCATCTAAAAATCTTACAATTTGAGGATACTTGCAACAGTAATGACACTTTTTTTTTTTTTTTGACAGGAGTGTCATGGGCCGGCAGACATGTCTAGAATGTAGCTTTGAGATCCCAGATTTCCCTAATCATTTCCCTACATATGTCCACTGCTCTCTCTGTCGCTATAGTACCTGCTGCTCCCGAGCTTATGCCAACCACATGATCAAGTAAGTTGTTAAGAGTTCATATTGTCCAGAATCATTTCATTCCCTTCCCTGTTCCTAGTTTGTTTCTTTCTTGAACTCTTACAGAATTCTTCAGGCAAGGTAAGAGACCAAAGCCGTGTTCATTTGGCTTTAATGGTCTGTATTCCTGATTGTGTGGGATCTTTCTATTCAAAACTATGAGCCAAACACCAGCATTAGATGGGAGCTTGATAGAAACAATTTCTCAGCCCCACCTAATCTGGATCAGTCAACCCTGAGGTGATTTCATATTTGTATTAAACTTTAAGAAGCATGACGATAGGAAGCATCTTACATTGCACTGTCATTGGCTGGTGATCTCCAGCTTAGCGGCAGAACCTCACGACTCATTTCACATTCTGTCTTTCTCAGCAATCATGTTCCACGGAAAAGCCCCAAGTATCTGGCTTTGTTTAAAAACTCTGTGAGGTAAGGAAAAGCTTATGGTACTCCTAATTTTCTAAATATTTATATGCTTTTAGTTGTTTTGTGGGGTGGTTGGTAGTGTGGATTAATTTGAGGAAAGAAAAGAAAATATTATGGGGTTTTTTCTTTTTGGCTAGTCTTGGGCTTGAACTCAGGGTCTGGGCACTTTCCTTGAGCCTTTTCAACTTGAAGATGTTAGTGATTTACCACTTGAGCCACAGCTTCACTTCTAGTTTTTTGGTGTCCCATTAATTGGAGATAAGACTTAGGTATTTTCCTGCCCAGGTTGGCTTTAAACCACAGTCCTCTGATCTCAGCCTCCTGGGTAGCTAGAATTACAGGCATGTGCCAATGGTACTCGGCTTCTCCTTTACAAAGCCTCAAATTTTAACTTTCTCTGGTGTTTCTCTGGTGTCATTGCCATATTTGTCTTATGTCCACTTTAACTCTCTTTCCAGTGGAATCAAGCTGGCCTGCACTTCATGTACCTTTACTACCTCTGTGGGAGATGCCATGGCCAAGCATTTGGTTTTCAACCCCTCCCACAGATCCAGCAGTATCCTGCCGCGGGGTAAGTAGGAGAGATGGGCAAAAAAGATACTTGTCCCCAAAAAAAGAAAGAAAAGGAGGCTGGGAAGGTAACTCAGTTGTAGAGCACTTGCCTTGCGTGCGTGAGGCCCTAGGTTCAATTCCTCAATACCACATAAGCAGAAAAGCCGGAAGTGGCTCTGTGGCTCAAGTGGTAGAGTGCTCACCTTGTGCTGAAGAGCTGACAGACAGTGCCCAGGCCCAGAGTTCAGGCCCCACGACCGACAACAACAAAAAGATACCTGACATTCTTTGTAAGCAGGAGCATTCTTCTCCAGTGTCACCCATTCACTATTTAGATATACTGCACTAAATTAGACACAGTTGAACATGAAGTATATAGGACTAGAAGGCACTCTGCGGAGTATACTAGGACCATCTTTCTGAGGACTCTTCGCTGAGCTAACCTTTTTTTTTTTTTTTCTTTCCTTTTCCCTAGGACTCAATTGGCTATCTCACTCAAGGTAACAAGTTCTCATTTAATGATTTAATTGCTGTTTTTCAGTGTGTTTGCTTTCTTTTACTACTATTTAAATTTCCTAGTTTAACTTACCTTTCTTTCTTCTTTGCTCTCCTACCTACCCCTTAGGCATGGTCAGACACGTGACCGAGTGCATGACCGGAACTTGAAGAATATGTACCCTCCTCTTTCTTTCCCACCTAACAAAGCTGCCACTGTGAAATCTGCGGGAGCCATGCCAGCTGAGCCTGAAGAGCTCCCATTGCCTGTGGCTCCAGCGCTCCCGTCACCAGCCTCAACTGCAACCCCGCCACCAACCCCCACTCACTCGCAGCCTTTAGCCCTTCCACCCTTGGCCCCAGAGGGGACCAAGTGTCTGAATGTTGATGACCAGGATGAAGGCAGCCCAGTCACCCAGGAACCTGAGGCAGCATCAGGGGGTGGAGGTAATGGTGGAATTGGCAAGAAAGAGCAGCTATCAGTGAAGAAACTTCGAGTAGTACTGTTTGCCCTATGCTGCAATACAGAACAGGCAGCTGAACACTTCCGAAACCCCCAGCGACGTATTCGGCGTTGGCTTCGCCGATTCCAGGCCTCCCAGGGGGAGAATCTGGAGGGCAAATACCTCAGCTTTGAGGCAGAGGAGAAACTGGCTGAGTGGGTGCTGACCCAAAGGGAACAGCAGCTCCCTGTGAATGAGGAGACCTTATTCCAGAAGGCCACCAAAATAGGACGTTCTTTGGAGGGGGGGTTTAAGATCTCCTATGAATGGGCTGTGCGCTTCATGTTGCGGCACCATCTGACTCCCCATGCCCGGCGAGCTGTGGCTCACACCCTACCAAAGGATGTAGCAGAAAATGCAGGACTCTTCATTGAATTTGTACAGAGGCAAATTCACAACCAGGACTTACCCCTGTCTATGATTGTAGCTATCGATGAGATCTCCTTGTTCCTGGATACAGAGGTGCTGAGCAGTGATGACCGCAAGGAGAATGCCCTGCAGACAGTAGGCACCGGGGAACCTTGGTGTGATGTAGTGCTAGCCATTCTGGCAGATGGCACTATCCTCCCCACGCTGGTTTTCTATCGAGGACACATAGATCAGCCTGCTAACGTGCCAGACTCTATATTGCTAGAAGTGAAGGAAAGTGGCTACAGTGACGATGAGATCATGGAGCTGTGGTCAACTCGCGTGTGGAGGAAGCACACAGCTTGCCAGCGCAGCAAGGGAATGCTAGTGATGGACTGTCATCGCACTCACTTGTCTGAAGAGGTACTGGCTCTGCTGAGTGCCTCTAGCACTTTGCCTGCAGTGGTCCCAGCAGGTTGCAGCTCCAAAATCCAACCATTAGATGTATGTATCAAACGGACTGTTAAGAACTTTCTGCACAAAAAGTGGAAGGAGCAGGCTCGGGAAATGGCAGACACTGCTTGTGATTCTGATGTCCTGCTTCAGCTAGTGCTAGTCTGGCTGAGTGAGGTACTGGGCGTCATTGGAGACTGCCCAGAGCTAGTTCAGCGGTCTTTCCTTGTGGCTAGTGTTCTGCCAGGCCCTGATGGCAACATTAACTCACCTACTCGCAATGCTGACATGCAGGAGGAGCTCATTGCCTCCCTAGAGGAGCAGCTAAAGCTGAGTGGGGAACAGTCTGAGGAACCCTCAGCTTCTACTCCCCGACTCAGATCATCTCCTGAAGAGACAGTTGAGCCTGAAAGCCTTCACCAGCTGTTTGAGGGGGAGAGTGAAACAGAGTCTTTCTATGGCTTTGAGGAGGCTGACTTAGACCTCATGGAAATCTGAGTGTGGGATCATGAGTGTGGAGTCAGATTGGGAAGGTGAGGGAGGGTAGAGGGATTTAGGGAAAAAGGGGCATACCAGGCGGGGTACTTGGTTTATATTTTTAATTTTATGTCATTTCCCCTAATGTTGACTTATACTTCCCTGTGAATTTGTGATTAGGAAATCAATAGTGATCATTTCTGAGCCGAGGATCTGACCCCATTGGTCATTCACTTCTGCTAAAAACAGGCTTTTGTGACTTTTCTAAATTTAAATCACTGTGTTCAGTATTTTTCTGACAAAAATCAAGGAAAAAAAAAAACAACCCTTTGTGGGTGAATGTTGTTTTGTTTCCCCCTTTACCTCAACTGTATCATAGTACTTCCAGGTTTTTTGTTTGTTTAACTGTGTGGCCAGTCTTTGGGCATGTTACTATCTAATAACCATTGTTAATGTGAGAACATTTCTGAAGATGGGAAAGACAAAAATATGTAGTTCAAACTGGTTTATTATATATATGGATAAACTTTTTCATTGTGGTCTTAACACTTTTATATAAAAATGAAAATGCAAGGAAAAAAAAAAAACCACTGAACTCTTCTTCCTTCTCTTTTTCTTAATTTCCCTGTCGAGATGTTGGTTTCAACAGCTCTAGATCTGAAATTGTGGCTTTAAAAATGCATGAAACCACCCTTAATCATCCAGAATGAATAGATTTGTCCTTTCCTCACCATCCTCCGTCCAACAAAACTATTTTTTGCTCTTGGAGATCCTTGAACCCTTCCTTGCCCCATTCTCACACTGCCCATCCCTCTGGACAAAGGAGCACACATATCCTTAGCCGAGGCACCGAGGTCATCAGAGCGTGAGGGTGGAAGCCGCTTCCAGAGTTTGTGTCTTCACCCTGCAAGGCCCTTGAGCAGTCCCTGCTTTTTGAACTCCATCCTGTTCAGTGGACAGCATGCCTGTTCAAGGGATCACAGATCCTACAGCCACGAACTAATTGTGCTGAACTTTAAAAAGATAGGTAACCTATTCAAATTGTGTTTATTACCTGTGGCTTTCCCCTATTTCTCTTAATGCTTAGAGAAGAATTTGATGCAAAGAAGAACATGGGAGTGTGCACAAAGAAAAAAAAATATGAATCTTTATTTTTCACTGCCAGCTTGAAGGAAAATTTTTTCTACAATTTGCATGAGGGACTTTTTTTTAAAAAAAAACAAAAAAAATTCAGTTATAAGCCAAATGTACTGTACCATACAGAGAAAAGGAGCAAAAAAACCAAGTCTACCTTTCCCACAGCTACACCATTCTTCTGTCCATCCTGAGGCTTTCAACAGTGTTTTCCTCCTGTGAGCCAAGGAGGCAGCCTGCACAAGCGTTGTAAATGGTTCGTCTTTAAAATGTACATAAGTGGAACATTTAATGAGCGGAAAGATTTTATAAATTCCCCCGAATCCTAGGGTGACCCTGTAGGCTTTCAGCCTGGGAGAGGCTCAAGATGTCACACTGGTAGTAGGTGTGACGTTTACCACCAGATCTTCTCCCTGCTGGTTTTTTGTTTTTGTTTTTTAACACCCAGCACACTATAATATAGTGAACTGGAGCATTCCCTTCCAGAACAGCTTGGCCAGCTTTCAACCCGTGGCATCCGAAAACTGAACAAAGGATCCATCTGGGCTTCTCTTTCCCAGCTTTTTGCCCAATGCCATTTTAATGGACTGAACTTTCAAGTCAACCCTCTGCTTTTGAGAAATTTGGAGAACTGAGTGGTCACTTCTGTCTACACCCTAATCCTCCTCTTTGGTAATCTCTGCAGCAGCCACAGCCTTAGCAGAGCTGGGTTCCTTGTCTCTGCACTCTGACTTTCTGGATGGGTAAATTTTTCTAAGATCATCAGCAATGGATCAACTGGGTTTTGGCCAGGGAAGTTGTCTTTGTGGACTCCGCCTGCATGGCTTAGTGGTAGAAGGAAGTTTTTTGTTTTGTTCTGTTTTTTTATAATTCAGTTTAATCAATAAACACGTATTTATTGACTACTTTCTGTGTTGACTAAATGTGTGATTTTCAATGGAAAGTTCAGTTACTTGCTTAAATTTATTAGTTCACTTGTTTGCTGTTGCCTATACCCATTTCTTAAAAGGTTTGGAGAGGACATGCAGAAGACTTACTTAATGGCTAGGCAGGGATGGCACACCCATATAATCCTAGCTACTCAGGAGGCCGAGATCTGAGAGTTAAGGGTCAGAGTCAGCCTAGGAAGACATATCAAAGACTTTATCAAAGACTTTTTTTTCTTTTTCTTTTTTTTGTCTGTCATGGGGCTTGAACTCTGGCTGGGCACTGTCCCTCAGCTCTTCAACTCTAGGTGAGCACTCTACCATTTGAGCTACAGCACCACTTCCAATTTTCTGGTGGTTTATTGGAGATCTAGGCTGGCTTTGAACCCCGATCCTCAGATCTCAGCCTCCTGAGTAGCTAGGATTACAGACATAAGCCACCGGTGCCCGGCTATCAGAGAGACTCTTAGCATCAATTAAACAGAAGCCAGAAATGATGGTGTGGCTCAAGTGGTAAGAATGCCAACCTTGGGTGAAAAAGCTATGGGTGTAGATGGGAGTTCAAGCCCCAGTACCAGCAAATCCCCCACCCCATCCTCAAAAAAGCATCTAGGTGCTCATTTTTAAAACCATTCCAGAAAAGGCATGTGGCTGACATGCAGATGACTTACCCTACAGCTGTATTTTCCACTTTCTAATAAACATACTTTTCCTCCCTTAAAGCATGCAAGCAGTAGAGTTAGGTGATTCTGCATCAGTGTTTCTCATAAATAGCAAAGCTCTAAAATTATACAAGTTAAACTATGTGTGTTCTTATAGTAGACATTCTAGTGAGGGTGAAGGATACTTTTTAGTTTAAGTTTCCCTGATGATCAGTGATACAATACTTCACAGTTTTCTACAGTGCTAGAAGTTTAAATTCAAGCTATAGACATTTAGGTTAAATGTTTATATACTGCTTCATATTCCCTGTATGAAGAGTGAGTCTGGACTTGGTGTGGGTTGGAGTGCCACTTCTAGGCAGTCTCCTTGTAAAGAGCAGCTCTACTTAGACACACCCTGTGTCTTTGACATTGTTTTAATTTAAAAAAAAAATGTCTGCAGCCAACATTCGCCAGGAGGTCTGCATTCCTTTACGATGCAGCAAAGGGAAAATAATTTCTAAACACAAAAAGCTAGATCTGAGGATCTCGGTTCTAAGCCAGCCTGGGCAGGAAAGTCTGAGACCCTTATCTCCAAAGCGCTAGCCTTTAGCTGAAGAGCTCAGGGACAGCACCCAGGCTGAGTTCAAGCCCCAGGACTGATGAAAAAAAAGTTATGAGCTGGACACTAGTGTGTCACACCTGTAATCCTAGCAACTAAGGAGGCTGAGATCTGAGGATCACAGTTCAAAGCCAGCCCAGGCAGAAAAATTCATGAAGCTCATTTCCAACTAGCCAACAAAAAGCAAGAAGTAGAGCTATGGCTCAAGTGATTAAGCATTAGCCTTGAGCAAGAAAACGAAGAGTGCCCATGCTCTGAGTTCAAGCCTCAGGACTGGTATAATAAAGTTATATTACTGGGGCTGGGAAGGTTGCTCAGTGGTAGAGTGCTTGCCTTGCATGCATGAGGACCTGGTTCAATTCCTCAGCACCACATAAGCAGAAAAAACTGGAGGTGGCGCTGTGACTCAAGTGGTAGAGCATTCACCTTGAGATCAAGAGCTGAGGGACAGCGCCAGAGCCCAGAGTTCAGGCCCCACGACTAACAAAAAAAAGTTACCCATACAAATTTGTCTGGCTTCTATAAGAAACTGCCTCTGTGGGCTGGGAAGGTGGCTCAGTGGTAGAGCACTTGCCTTGCATGTCTGAGGCCCTGGGTTCGATTCCTCAGCACCACATAAGCAAAAAGAAAAAAGCCGGAAGTGGCGCTGTGGCTCAAGTGGTAGAGCACTAGCCTTGAGCTGAAGAGCTGAGGGACAGCACCCAGGCCCAGAGTTCAGGCCCCACGACCGGACCCAAAAAAAAAAAAAACTGCCTCTAGTGTCAAATGAAGACTGTCCTCGCCTATATTTTCATGTAGAGAGAATTCTATATTAGGTGAAGGAATCTAAGGGTTCTCTAACCAAGAAAGGTGGCACATGGCTGTACCGGGTAGTGTGGTCTTGGTGTGATCCAGAGAGAATAAAACCACTCAGCAAAAACTTTACAAGACTGATTTATTTTACAAAAGGAAAGTCTACCTTTGAACTAGCCCAGTCCAAAGGAAAAGAAGGGCAAAACTTCAACTCTGGATAAGGCAAGTGTATTTCATTCAAAACCACTACAAAGAAAAAGCAAAACACAGTTGTGAAACATAAAAGTATCAATTCCTAAAAGCTCTACCCTCCCAGCCAGAGAATTTTTCTGCTTGAACCCTTTAAAAAAAAAGGTCAGCTTAATGCAAACCAAGGGACTCACCTGATCATGTGGGCAATATCCCAGTTGGTCTCTGCAGATAGGGGTCCCTCAATTTCAACACCTTTTTCAGTTACAGTGGCAATTTGAAACTGAAAAGAAAATATCCAATGAAATGTTTTTCCTTAAATGAAGTCACTTAGGCCTGGTCAAATAGAAGATCTTCCAGTCACAGAGGAGAGACCTAGGAATTCAAGAATCCACAGCCTGGGGCTAGGAATGTGGCCTAGTGGTAGAGTGCCTAGCATACATGAAGCCCTGGGTTCAATTCCTTAGTACCACAAAAACAGAAAAAGCTGGAAGTGGCACTACATCTCAAGTGGCAGAGTGCTAGCCTTGAGCAAAAGAAGCTCAGGGACCACACTGCCCAGGCCCCCGAGTTCAAGCCCCAGGACTAGCAAGAAAATATATGTATATATCCACAGCCTAACAATTAGATTCCCAGAACTTTTGCATACCACTCCTCACCCGGTTATAAGAACGCGCATCACGATAGTACAGCACTCGCATGCAGCGTTCCACGAGCTCTCGGGCCTCAGTCTGAGTCAACACAGGCTGCTTCTCCAGAACTTCTCGAAGCAGAGGCTAGGGAGATGGTGGGATAAACACAGGAGATCTCACAGATTGAGTTATAGGCTATCTGTCACTAACATCTGTGTAAACAAGTACATTAAGTGGAAAGACAGCTTCTCTACTTACTGTCTCACCAAAATGAAGTTGGCTACTAAGACCCTCTTAAAAGGGAAGTTCTAGAACATTTAGTCTGTGTATCTATCAATCAACTGACTTATTTACCTCACCTTGTCACTGGAACCAAAGTATCTACTGTGTTCAGATACCAAGAAACCTCTTTTTCTCTCCCTTTCCCCCTCACCTCTAGACCTGCTACTTACCTGAGCCAAGTATGCACCATAACCAGTGGCCAGCGAAGGGGCTTCATAGGCCACACCAAGCATGTCCACATAACCAAGGAAGCTAGCAGGGCGGAAGAGATCAAAGAACTCATGTAATCTTAAGAGTTTTGTGTTTTTTGGCTGTGTATGTGTGGTATGAGTTCAAAGAGGGGCTGACTAGGGGAGGAAAAAAAAAAAAAAAACAGGGCCACACACAGGTGGGTGAGGTTGGGAGCTCAGGGAAGCTATTTGAATTCAACCTTTCTCCATCAGCGTAGCCTCCAATGACCATGGTATTCCACAGAGGGTTCATCTTGGAGCGGCGGCTGTACATGGCCCTGGTCAGCCACGAATGAATAGCTCTAGGACTATAGCTGTGTCCATCTCCCAACAGCTCTTCATCGATCCTTCAAGGAATTGATTGTAAGAGTGAGAAAACGGCTGGGATCTCCACCCACCTCCAAAAGAAATTGCTCCCGTCAATCTCCTTGGCTACTCCTGAATGCAAAAAACACATTCACGTGTTTTAAAACGTACTGACTTTAATTTTACAGAGGGATTTATTTCAGTGTGGGGTTTCCGCCCCACGACCGACAGAAACAAAACCCAGCTCCTCTGTTGCTTTCTTAACCCTAGCGATCCTCTCAACTGCGAAGGCCCGCGGGGGGGGGGAGGGGGGTCCCCACTCCGAGTCCTCCAGACGACTTACACCATCTGGCCGAGAACTTGCTTCAAATACTGAAAATCGGCGTAATCTCCGGAGGCACCGAGCATGGTGCTGTTGTTGACTCGCATAATGCGCGAGATGTTACGGAAGCGAGCCAGGGAGCCGTAGGAGCCCAGCATGTCCGCGGCGATCACCACCCCGCCCTCGAACTTAACGCCCAGCACCGAGGTCCCGGTCACCATGGGGTTCCTGGAGGAGAACACGCAGCTGGGGACAGGCGGCGCGGGGGGCTCCGCCGGGCAGCCGCGGGGCGCGGGGCGGCGTGGGGCGCGGGGCGCGGGGGGCTCCGCCGGGCAGCCCCAGGCCGCGGGGCGCGGGGCGCGGGGGGCTCCGCCGGGCAGCCCCAGCCCGCAGGGCGGCGGCGCGGGGGGCTCCGCCGGGCAGCCCCAGGCCGCGGGGCGCGGGGCGCGGGGGGCTCCGCCGGGCAGCCCCAGGCCGCGGGGCGCGGGGCGCGGGGCGCGGGGCGCGGGGGGCTCCGCCGGGCAGCCCCAGGCCGCGGGGCGCGGGGCGCGGGGGGCTCCGCCGGGCAGCCCCAGGCCGCGGGGCGCGGGGCGCGGGGGGCTCCGCCGGGCAGCCCCAGGCCGCGGGGCGCGGGCCGCGGGGCGCGGGGCGCGGGGGGCTCCGCCGGGCAGCCCCAGGCCGCGGGGCGCGGGCCGCGGGGCGCGGGGCGCGGGGGGCTCCGCCGGGCAGCCCCAGGCCGCGGGGCGCGGGGCGCGGGGGGCTCCGCCGGGCAGCCCCAGGCCGCGGGGCGCGGGGCGCGGGGGGCTCCGCCGGGCAGCCCCAGGCCGCGGGGCGCGGGGCGCGGGGGGCTCCGCCGGGCAGCCCCAGGCCGCGGGGCGGAGCAGAGCGCGGGGCGCGGGGGGCTCCGCCGGGCAGCCGCAGGGCGCGGGGCGCGGGGCGGCGGCGCGGGGCGCGGGGGGCTCCGCCGGGCAGCCCCAGCCCGCAGGGCGGCTCGCGCGTCCCCGGGCCGCCGGCGGCCGAGGCCTGGCCGCGCCCCTCGGGCCAGGGCGGAGAACTTACTGAGTCCGCGTGAGGGGGGAGTGGCCGTGCGCCGAGGCCGGATCCACCAGGGGGCCTGGGGCAGACGGGACGCGGTAAAACTGTCCCGGGGCCGGACCCCCGGCCCAATGGCCACACCGAGACTCCCAAAGCGCTTCCATCTTAGTCACGGTCGCGGGGGAGCATGACAGCGCGTGCGCCGGCGGAAGCGGAAGGGATCCTTCTCCTTCCGGTAAGCCACGTCCCGCCGCCATGTTGCTGAGGTCACGCCCTCCGCCGCCGGTCGCGCGGTCGCCGCCACGCGTCGCGGTCGCCGCCACGCGGTCGCGTCGCCACGCAGGGTGTTGGGATTCGGTCTGAGGATTCTTCTGTTTGGGTTTTTTTTTTTTTTTTTGCCGTCCTGGGGCTTGAACTCAGAGCGGGCGCTCTACCACTCGAGCCACAGCGCCACTTCCGGTGTTTGGACATGCGTCTCGCGGACTTTCCTGCCAGGGCTGGCTTCGAACCGGGATCCTAAGATCTCAGCCTGCTGAGTAGCTAGGATTACAGGCGTGAGCCACCAGCGCCTGGCGATCTGAGGATTCTAACACTTGATTCCAAGAAGGACAGGTGTGAAGGAGCCACCTCCTGTTAGATCATTGTCAGAATACCTCCATCAGCCCGGCATATATACAGCCGTATATAACACACACACACACACACACACACACACACACACACACACACACACACACACGGAGCTCTCGCTGCGGGGAGGGGGTGGCGGGAGGGGCTAAGAGCACAGCTCAAGAACATGAAGCCCTGAGTTCAAAACTATAGTATCAGGGGGAAAAAAATAAATCCATATCAAGATATACATCAACAAACCCAAGATCCTCTTTCTCAAAGCAGGCATGAAGCCCTCGCCTTGAGCTAAAGAGCTCGGGGACAGCGCCCAGGCCCAGAGTTCAACCCCCACGACTGACAAAGAAAAAGAAAAAAGATTAATCCCATGCACCTTGTGGGCTGTGTAAGCCATGTGTTAGTTGAATTCAGGGCAGTAGCTTTGAGTCCCCCTGCCGGCAGCTAGCGCTCCAATAAAGACTCTAAATTCAGCCTTTTAAGTGGTGGCTTCTCTGTTCTTATAACTGGATCTACCATAAAACAGTCCAACAGACAAAAATCAGTAGTGTGAGCTGGGAATGTGGCTTAGTGGTAGAGTGCTGGCCTAGCATGCATGAAGCCCTGGGTTCGATTCCTTAATATCACATAAACAGAAAAAGCCAAAAGTGGTACTTTGGATCAAGTAGTAGAGTGCTAGCCTTGAGCAAAGGAAGCTCAGGGACAGTACCGAGGCCCTGAGTTTAATCCCCAGGACTGGCAAAAAAAAGGGGGGAAAAAAATGTTTTTGTATGCCAAGAGCAAACTGTTTGACAAAAGAAATCAAGAAAGTAATTTCATTATAATAATAAAAAAATAAATAAAATTACGTAAGAATAAGCTTAAGGAAATGAATAACTCTTCAGTAAAAATTATAGCCAGGTGCCAATGGCTCACGGTTGTAATCCTAGCTACACAGGAAGCTGAGATCTGAAGACCACTGCTTCAAGCTAAGCCCAGACTCAGAAAAAGCTGAAAGTAGTACTGTGGCTCAAGTGGTTGAGCCCTAGCTATAAACAAAAAGAAGCTCAGGGACTGCACCACCCAAGCCTTGAGTTCAATCCCTAAGACTGACACCAAAAACCTATAAAACCCTAGTGAACAAAACAGAAGAGGATACAAAAAAGTAGAAAGATATCCCATGTTCATCGACTGGGAGAAATAATATTGCTAAAATATCTGCAGTACCCAATGCAATCTGTACATTTAAGGCAATTCCAATTAGAATGCCAATGGCATTCTTCACAAAAATAGGAAAAAAATCCTAAAATTATTATGAAACCACAATAGACCCTGAAGAGTCAAATATGTGAATACACAGAAAGAAGGCAGCTATTTACAAGCCAGAAAAAGAGAGCTCACCAAGAGCCAATTCACTGGACTTGACCTTGGATTTCTGACTTCCAGAATTCAATAAACATATTGAGAAAAGAACATGTTGTTCAAGCCACTCAGTTTGTAGTATTTTGTTTTGGCAGTCCAAGCAAACTAAGAAAGATGAAATCAAATTTATATTCATCTCTGGGGCATGACAGTGCATAGAGCATCCAGTTTTCCCCATATCCTCAAGTCAAACTGCATATTATCAGCCTTGCAATTCTTGCCAATCTTTTTTTTTTTATTGTGAAAATACTGTACAAAGGGGTTACAATTACATGGGCAAGATAATGAGTACATTTCTTATCAAGCATTGTAGTCTCCTCCTTTGTTTCCCCTTCCCATCCCTTCCCATCCTCCCCTTGGCCCCCCATCAAATCCTCCCCCCCCCCCCCACACCTCTTGCCAATCTTATAGTGAAAAACATCTCTGTTTTTTTTTTTTTTTTTGCCAGGCCAGGGGCTTGAACTCAGGGCCTGGGCACTGTCACTGAGCTTCTTTTGCTCAAGGCTAGCACTCTACCACTTGAGTCACAGCGCCATTTCTGGCTTTTGTCTGTTTATGTGGTACTGAGGAATCAAACCCTGGGCTTCATGCTAGGCAAGCACTCTACCACTAAGCCACATTCCCAGCCTTCTCTGTGTATTTTCATTTCCAGTTTTCTGATGAAGCATAAGATACCTTCATATATCCTATAGATTGCTTCCTGGCAATTTTTATACTTTATTTGATTTACTTTGAAATTTTGGATATTTGTTCTCTTTTAATGTTTGTGTATCCTCTGAGAGTCTGAATCTAATTTTTTTCCAAAGCAATACACAGTTATTCCAATACTGTGTTACTAAACCACCTTTTCTTTTGCCCATTGTAGTCAAATAGATCCTGTGTATACTTAAAATCTGTTTGTAGGATCTACTCCACAGCTCTGTTTCACAGTTACTTTATAATAGGTGTTTTTGTGGTTGGTTTGCTTGTTTGTTTTAAGACTGGGTCTCACTGTATCCAGGCTGGCCTCAAATACTCCATCCTCCTGTCCCAGCCTCAAGTGCTAGGATTATGGCTGTGCACTACTGTTGCTGACTGTAATAGATTTTAATGTAAAGTAAAACAATAATGCCAAATATTAGTTTTTATCATTTTCTTGGCAATTTTCATACATTTATTTTCCCATATGAACTATAAAATAATTTCTCATACTCAATAGAAATGAATTACTTATCCATTTGAAAGGATTGGCATTTTATATTAAAATTTTCCACCCAGGAATGTAATTTTCTGTAGTCATTTCTATTTATTGCAGTATTGCAGATTGAACTTGGGGGCCTCATCCATGTTCAAGGATGTTGCCTCCATAACTTGTTCCCCAATAACTGGGGCCCTTTCAGTAAATGGCCTGGGGTTCTGTAAAGGACCAAGTAAGTTCACAATCATCATAATTGTTCAGTGCCATTTTGAAGATTTTAGCTATTGATTGAGAGCTTCCTCTCTCTCAACTGTTTTATATATGAAGATATGACAGTGAATAAAAATTCTTGCCTCTCTAACCAGCCTAACCTATTGAAAAGATCCTGTCCTTTATAATCCTCCCCAGAGAGGAACCATATTGTTGTATTCTAGTAGTTTACTGTGATTTATAATAAGCCAATGGTGTCACTCCATTGTGCACCTTGTCAAACCTTTTATATGACTTTAATAAACAATAAATTTGCTGGCTGTGCCAGAGGTCTGCTAGTGGTTTATATATTGACAATACTTTCCATTTCAGTTTGATATGTAGAATCATTTTTAATTTTATAGCAATTGACAGTCCTCTTAGCTCAACTATTTGAAACTAAGTCTTGCTATGTACAAGGGAAAAATGGTGTTTGTGATTGGTAAGTGTTAAAAAAAAGTTCTTGTGTCTCACATGTTTTCTCTCATATAGGAAGCTAGGTCTAAAATATATAAGCATTGTTGGTTGCCGGAGGCTCATGTCTATAATCCTAGTTAGGAGATTAAGATCTGAGGATTGCAGTGCAAAGCCAGCCAGGATAGAAAAGTCCATAAAACTCTTGTCTCGGGGCTAGGAAGGTGGCTCAGTGGTAGAGTGCTTGCCCTGCATGCATGAGGCCCTGGGTTCAATTCCTCAGCACCACATACACAGAAAAAGCCAGAGGTGGCGCTGTAGCTCAAGTAGTAGAGCATTCTCCTTGAGCTGAAGAGCTGAGGGACAGTGCCCAGGCCCAGAGTTCAAGCCCCATGACTGACAAAACAAAAAAACTCTTGTTTCCAATTAAACACCAAAAAAAAAAGCAAGAAGTAGAGCTGTGGTTCAAGTGGCAGAGCACTAGCCTTAAGCAAAAATCAAAACAAAGCAAAACAAAAAAACTCAGGGACAGTACCTAGGCCCTGAGTTCAAGCCCTGAGATCTAAAGGATCTTAGTTTGAAGCCAGCCTGGGCAGGAAAGCCCATGCCATTCTTATCTCCAAATAACCACCAAAAAAGAGGCTGAGGTGAAGCTGTGGCTCAAGTGGTAGAGCACTAGCCTTAACCAAAAAAGCTCAAGAGACAGAACCCAGGTTCAGTGTTTAAGCCCTAGGACTAACACACACATACAAAAACAAAAAAGCTGGTAGAGCTGGAGGTATAAACCCAGTGGTAGAGTGCTTGCCAAAAGTAGCCCAGGCTCTGGATTTCATCTCTAGCACCATATAAAGTATGTTTACAAGTACGTATAAACACACAAGACAAAATGACCCAGTAAAATACAAGCACACATGGTAATATATGTAGGGGTTTTCTGCATACACACACAAACAGACTGACTAAAGGATGGTACATCTAGGGAAGGAATCCAAAGGTGTAATTCTGAACAACTAATGAACAGCTTAATAAAAAACCAGGAAGTAGGGGCTTGGAATGTAGCTCAGTGGTAGAGTGCTTGCTAACATGCATGAAGCCCTAGGTTCAATTCCTCAGTACCACATAAACAGAAAAAGCCGGAAGTATCACTGTGGCTCAAGTGGTAGAGTGCTAGTCTTGAGCAAAAGGAAGCTCAGGGACAGTGCCCAGTCCCTGAGTTCAAGCCCCAGGACTGGCAAAAAAAAAAAACAAAAAACCAGGAAGCAGCAACTTGTTTGAGGAGAAGAACAATGAGAAAGTGGGCATAGGATTGGAGGGAGGAAGGTTGAGCAAATGAA